AAGCGTTGCACTACTTATCACGAGGGTTGTGCTTAGGATGTAAAACTAAGCACCCCTATTCCCAGCTCTAAAAAACAAGTTGTTTACAATTTTATTTCGTTGAAATTACTATGAGCATACGAAATATAATAATATTATTATGTTACATTATATTAACACAGATAATATTACATTGTAACATTATTTTACTACTCATTATACTACATAATTAATATATTACGAAATTACTGAAAAATATAAGCGATTGCTTAGTTTCCAGCAGCAATTTGCACCATTCTATTTTACGACTTGTGAACGCTCTGTAACGGCTACATCTGGACTCCGTTGAGAAAAAACTTGTCTAACTGGTAAAAACCAGCCTCGGTGCTAGTATAGTGGGCGCCTCCGTCATACAACACGAAAAGTCAGTAGCAGAGACTGTCATACATCAACCCGCTCCCTGTCACGACAACTCACACAAGATCCTGTCCATTTGTCTATCCACCCTTTGGCTCTAACAATCGCGTCAGAAATGGATCAGTATCACGAACTGCTATTCACCTACCAATATAAATTATGAGAAAAATGTAGACTGGTTCCAATCAGCAGGTGGTATGATGCTTGAAAATACCTCCCATAAACTTGTAGTCAAATACTTCAAAAGACCTCTAGACAGCAACATAAAACCGTAAACTTCGAAAATGAAAAAAAACCCTGGTAAAAATATTTTATGTTCCTATTGGAAGCGCGGTCAATCTGCGAAAATCCACTACTCCAAAACATAAAAAACCCCTCCGCAGCAGAGAAATCATTCAGTTGTCGCCAACGTGAACATCTATCACGTCATGACAACATAAAATGTGGTGCCGACACGTACCATCTTTGTGTAGCTCCTATCACTTCTTTCTTCGAAGAGTCAGCTGAGTGAAAAGCACAAATAAATTAAAATATATCTCATAAAGAGTCAGTATGAAAAACTCTTATGGAAATGTTTTCTCAGGGCTAATACTTGCTGAAAATATGGGATTCTCTTTATTTCCATAATATCGAATAATTAATGATCTCTCGCACCAGACTCTGACCACTGGAAGAATGATAGATACATCAACTTCTTCCCTCTTAAGGTCCTTGAGGTTCTTAAGTTGCAATTACAGCTTACAAAACGACACAAATATCCACCAGGCAGTTCCTCTGCTGAGCGCTCTGTAAGCTCTCCAGTGATGGTTGCCCAAATGCATACATTAAGAAATTTTGAGAAAACGCAACCAATTGAGCGGTTTCAATTCCGACATGGATTCGCTGTTAGGGCTTCATCACCTATGCTACAGTCAAAAACTCAAAGACAGTGCCAGCTGTTGTAGGACAGACTATTCTAGACTGCAAAAAGCTAGTTACAACACAGAAACATGTGCGTTATTCAGAATTGATAATTACAGTCTCGAGAATACCACGCATATGAGCTAGGATTTCTCTTTAATGCCACAGTCACAATCACAATCAGTTGATGGAATTATGAGAAGAAAAGAGCTCATGATTATAAAGCGATGATTCTGTTCACCCGTTGTGACCTCTGTCATAAAATTCTATTTCTAATAAATTGAATCGGAACATTGCCTTCCATAAAATTTTTCTCATAAAAAGACAAAAATGGATGCAAAAACTATAGCAAAAGTTCCAAAACCACAACCAACTAAAACTTTCCTTCAACTGAATTTTGATAAAACCCCGTCATCGACAATATTGACGAAAAATCCGACGATTTGAATCATTACTCAAAATTCTAGAATTGATAGAACAGCGTCGAGCTGTACGGTATGGAGCAATCATGAAATTTAAGCTTGCAGAGTTATCCATCAACTTACTTTGAGGCTGCAGAGCTTTGTAGCTCTGTAGCGTTATAAGACGTTACCATAGATCATCCTCACAGAGAAAACACTTGCCGGCTAGTCTCGAAGCAACGTCGAACGTCCCCAGATGGCTGGTTGGAAGTCAATCGCGAACCAAAAGCGATTGTATGCTTCCCTGAGACGAAGGTGGCTCCACGAGAAGAAATACTTGCTTCTGTCGTTCCGATCCGTCTACCTTCTTATTTCCGTTTCTGTTTCTTCTGTTCATTAATGTTTTCGTGCGTGGGTATGTTTCCGTTTATACCAATTTAACTTACGAGTCAATTCGACGAATAGTCTACAATAATGTGACTGTGAAGCACATGAAAGGCTGTTCGGAGCCGCCTTGAACAAATAAGCTTCCCGTCTGCTCAGAGAGATTGGCAAGCTACCCACGAATATACCTAGCCTCCGCGTTCAGAACTCAGCACGCTATACGTGGATATTAAAAGAGCTAAACATAGTAAAATAAATGGTTTTCATTTTCCTGGCACCGAAAGAGCCCCTTATTCGGCAGCGTTGGGTAGGACAAGTACGGAGGGGCTGCTAAAATCTCAGGGCAATTCTAAGTTGCCTAAATCGCAAAGAACTAAGGTGACGATCTGTACCTACAACGCGTAGCTGCATCTGAGTATTCGATAGAAGACATCATCATGCAGGTAAGACGGACAAGGTGCGACGTCATCAGACAGGCCGAGACGAGAAGACGCCTCCCATTCAACGCCATTTATGACACTGGAGAAGAACTGCTCCTTGAAAAAAAATGTGACGCTAGAAGAATTGGCAATGTCAACGTTCTCGTCAACATGAGTTCGGTCATGATTTATTCGAACAACTAATAACCTGAGTGGGACGTTTACGGCCGAATAGGCGTGGATCAATACCGACTTTGACAATGCCTGTCGTCTGTGCACCGACATCAAGCTATAACAAAAACGAAGCGTTCAGCATGGACTTGGAGAAGTTCTACAGAGAGAACCATACATTCCTTAAGTTATATATTCATGTGCACCCAGCGGTTCAACGTCCCATCGTGGCTGGGAGGTGGTCCTCGGTGAGATCAGCGGTCTAAGCCTATCACGACGACCAAGACCACTCATGCCAATTCATAAGTCTAGAAGTCCCGCTTCCAACGTTAGAAGTGGGAATCTCCCAGTGGAGAATACAACGAGGTAGACAACATCATACGACGGTTTTGCCAAACCGATGTCGCTGCTGTCCCAAAATTCTATATTGGATCAGAGTATCGCCTCCTTCGCGTAAGATTCAATTTCTTCCAGAAAGGAGAGAAAGCCGATAAGTTCAAGAAACGAAAACCCAAACTGCGACAAATTGGGATTCATTCAGATTGCTGATGGTTGCAACTCGATGGCTAGACTGGATCCGTTTCCAAAAAAGATAACAAAGGAAATTCCGATTATTACTCGGATCCCTTCAATAGCCGCGTCTTCCTGCCCTCGTAGGAAACAAAGAAATATGGATGTATCGCCCCATCGGTTCTCCCTTCCGAAATCCGTCATGAAATTTCGTCGGCGACGAATCAGACAACACCTGGACCGCACAGAATAGGACATGAACACTTGACGAACATTTCGCCAATCCTCATCAACACAATGGGTAGTTCCTATGCAATGGAAGGACCAGCAAGACTGTGTTATAGTTCAAGAAGCGCGACCTCCACGACATCGGCAACTATTGCCCAATCGCTGTCTCTCGCCCACAAACTCCTCACTCAGGTCATCCTAGACAGGACTGACATAACACTGGACGAAGTACAACCATGTGAGCAAGCAGGGTTTAACAAAGGATTTACTATGACAGATCGACACGATAACAACATTCGCGTGAGTATGACAAACCGCTCTGCCCCGATTTCACTGATTTAAGGAAAACTTTTGATTCATTTGAAATAGAAGCAGTTGTGGAAGCCTTGAACACCCAAGGCATCCTACTCAGTAAATAAAGATTATTCGTGAGCTATGTAAAAAATTCACAAGCAAAATATCACATTCTATAAAAATATTAACATTGACGTCAAAAGAGGGATTAGGCAAGGCGATGCCATCTCGGCAAAATTTCTCATCGCCAAACTCGAGAACACCATGCAAACATTGGAATGGGACAACATGGAAGCGAAAACAGATGGTGGACAATCACAACATCTTCGCTTGCTGATGACACTGTTTATATAACTCCAAGCACTAGCCAAGCGGAAAAAGTCAGAGTAGGGCAGATGGAAGCAAGCGGCTTATGGAGATTTCAAGAGCATCGAGAATGTAGTGAGAGAAACAAAGAACATCCGACTTAGTGCCAATCTTTTCGACTTTGCGATTCTCCTTGCCTTAATGTAAGCGCTAGAAATCTGGTCCTTACGTATGTAGGATAGAAAATCACTCAGCGTTATGGAACGCGCAATCCAAATGACGATGCTAGGAATATCCTATACGCAAGCGACAGAGGGGATCCGAGGTTGCGACCTATGTCTACAATAAAAAAAGCCTCCGTTCTACACCTTAAAATGCGAAAATCAGGTGGCTCAGAAAGTCGTATGAACAACAACCTATGGACAATAACCGTTAGCTATTGCATTTCACGGGATGTCAAAGACATACCAGGAAGACCACCGAACTGAAGGTTAGAATTCTTCACGAAAACCCTAGAGGAAGCGGAATTCACTAAGCTACCCTTTTACACGACAAGGACAATGGAAGGTTTACTGACGCCCGTTGGAGTAACAATTAGCGGAAGAGCAGGTGATTGGCTGGTGTGTCCTCCTCTTTGGTGGCAAAGGGTAATATACAGCGAGAGATTTGTCCGCCACTAGGTTCTCAACGTCTAAAGAATGTGTCATTTTCATCCGAAAAGTGCGGATAAGAGCAAAGAAATGCAGGATATTGCAATGCTATCAACAATCACCATCTACCACGTGGAAATAATTTCACAAAGCTTTAACAGGACTTTCGGAATTTTACGCAAATTGCTCAATCAAGAAATAATGGAAGATATGGTTAAATAGTCGACTACATAATTACTTTTTATGAACGCCAAATTACAAAAACAAATGGGATATGACTGCGAAGTCATTTCGGAACTAATAACTCGTAAGTGACGTTAGTTAGATACAAGTTAATTAACTTACGCTGAGAAAGCACCACCAACTCCTGACCCACCACCAAAGGCAGACGACGGTTTGGGTGCAGTGGATCCAAAAACTGGCTTCCCGCCAAAAACAGGAGGGCCTCCAAATTTTGGCGTCGAGCCGAAAACCTAGGAAATCAAAAATTAAATTATGCTGTATGCCTAAACTTATTCCGACATTAGGGTTTTTGTACCGAGCTTGACGTTGTAGACTGGGAAAGTGCATCCAATTGAACAGCTTTTTGTGCTGCGGATGCAAATGTAGAGGGCTGAGCTCCGGATGTGTTCATCTGCAAAAGAAAAAAAACCGGCATAAGCTTCTCGAAGGGTGAATTTTAGCATGACAATATTTGACATTAGGTTTTGAATGGTGAAGGTGATGTACCATTTAATTCGACGAGCAATACTGCTCATCTAAGCCTTGTAGGATTACGCACTTTTATTTCATCACTTTTTAGCTTACAATATGACTCCTTCAAATTTCAAATGACATTAGATATGAGTACGAGATTTAAGTGCGAAATGAGAAAAACACAGCTTCTCTAATCGTATTTGGTACGATGACTCTACACATCCATGAACTGCTCTATCGTGGAACTTATTGCATATGTAACTAGATTCACCTACGTGAAAGAAAGAAATTATAAGAACAACGTTTTCAATATATGAAAACCAATGGTCAGAATGAGTATACGTACTGCTTTGTGCATTCCTCCGGAGAAGATTGAGCTTGTTCCTCCATGAGACGATGTATTATTTAGTAGGCTACCAGTTTTCATTCCAAAGACATTCGTTCCTGCATTCGTGTTAGTAGTAGAACCAATGCCACTATAAATGTACAGAACTCAATGTGTTAAGAAATGTCAAAAGTAAAAAAGATGGGTAAAAAATAAGAAAAAATGAACTAAAGAAGGAAAAAATAATATAAATACTAGATGTTGACTGCTACGCAGCGATAGCATTATTTACAAAATCAAGGCAAGGAATATAATCAAAGCCTGCAGAAGTTCATCAACCCTATATCTAGTATTATTTTTGAAGTAACATTGTACAGTACTTAATTAACGTATATCGCGCTTTCAATCAAACGGCTTAGATCAATTCTAAACCTCATATCCACTTTTTTCATTTCTTAAGCAATAAAATTTTAGTATTCGCCAAGTACCCTTATTATTCACTGTTTCCAAACAAGATGTGAAGCCAACATTTTTTAAGACGACTCTAAAAGCGACCTCATGAAACCGCCACCAAAAATACTGTCATTTTTTTGAGAAGGTACTGCTGCTCCACCATCGTCATCCATTCCTTCATCAGCGTCGACGCTAGTCACAACTGAAGCTGATGTATCTGTAAAGTTCAGAAAGGTGATAAAATCATCCTTCGATATGAAACACCGCAATGGTATCCCATTAAGATAAAACAGAAACGCACCTAGAGCTGTATCATTTTTGGGGGTAAATTTAAACGATTGACTTGACAAGACGGATTGATTGGACTCTGTGGCACTTTTGGACTTGAATGAGAAAGTTACTACGCCAGTTGATGATTCTAAAGCAGTTGAAGTAACATTGTACAGTACTTAATTAACGTATATCGCGCTTTCAATCAAACGGCTTAGATCAACTCTAAACCTCGCATCCACTTTTTTCATTTCTTAAGCAATAAAATTTCGGAGGCTGAGAAGTCTAGGATAGAAAAAATGCAGAAAACCATCAGAAGTAGAACTTATGTTCACTTCTCTGCACGATGTTTCACGACACGCACGATGAATAGGACCAACTGATTTAATATCATCAAAAAAGTGCTAAGAAATTCATGATTTTCTTGATGAGCAAACATGAGATTGTTATTACAGCACTTAGTCGTTCACAACAGCTAATTTTTCTGTGGCTACGCTCTTCTCAGAGTGTGGAAGACTGAAAATGATACTCAGTAGACAAAACTTAATACATGAATTTCTATTCGCATAATAGACAGTTCTTCTTAAACATTTACCACTTTGTTATTTGTATGCCTTCCAATGGAGACCTGCGGAACAGAGTGCTAGATGGATGAGGAATTTACCAGCTCTGGTCAACAAATCACCCACAGCTATGGTGCCAGATCACGTGTAATCACAAGGAATCCTTCCCTCCTGGTTCGATTTTGGATTTTTGGAATTTATCTAAAACGCTTCAAGAATTTTACATGACTACGTTTCGGATTCCTAAGCGAATATAATGACTTTGAGTTTTACTTCAAAATCTTCTCCATTGTCTCTGTGTCCTATGTCCATTTAGTAGAACATTTGAGTCAACTCTAGCTTTCCGAGTAGCTATTCCTTCCTACGGACGCAGGGTGGTCTACCCGTTTCTCCAATGTACTTTCATCCGCTGAGATCTAAGAGATCAGATAAATCATACACACCTCATGCAATCGCCAACTTTGCCGTTAGGGCATGTTATGCAATTTTGCGTTGTATATAGACCGTCGTGCAGACAGTTGCGAACTAGCTAACGTATTAGATTTTCTTCGTATTTTTGTTGAGCAAACGCGAGGTGTTACTATTCTTTGTTCACGATTAAGCTGACGTTTCGGCGGATTTCGCCTTCTTCAGAGCCTGGAAAGGTCAAGTTGATAGCAACTCACTCGGCCAGACGCCTCCATAACCAAACAAAGAAACTCCAAACCAAGATTTCAATCACTTTGAACACAGCTTTGCACACTCACCGCTTTCTATGAGGTTTCCACTAAGTATGTCACGTAGAGACCAACCGCACAGAAATCACGTGGAAGTATAATGTGCCCCTCACATCAGAAAAGCAGTTTTATATACTGCCCTATATCACGCGTGATAATGAGGCATTTTTCCCTGCGGTTCATTTTCGGATTTCTGGAATTAATGCAGAGTGCCTCGAGAGTTTTTCGCGCCTGTGTTCTTGATTCGCGTGCGAGGATCGTGACACATACTTCGAAGTCGTCCCCGTTATGTCTCTGGGTCCTATGCGTGCCTAGCGGAGTATTTGGTCTATTTTTGCCGGCTAGGTGTTCTTATTGGTTGTGGCAGTTAACGTATTAGAGTGCTCGGTGGTAATTCAAAATCAAGGTTATCGAATTCTTTACACCGGCTCTTCTTAAGCAACATTTTAAGTTGCAATTATTTCGTTGGAAATAAAGGTTAGGACTGACGGGACCTTATTATTGCAAGCGTTATCGTTTGGAGGCTTGGGTTTTCTTCTACACCTATCCCAAGGAGCCACAGTTTCGTAGCCACTGGAAATGAATATTCGCTGCGTCGATTTCCAGAAGACCTTCTTCCGTTCTCTTCTTGTGCACACGCTCTTTGTGGCCGTTCGAAATATGTTTCTCACAGGCGCTCTTTGTGTGTGAAGGGTGGGAGGAGAGCTAATGAACCAGCATGTTTTTGCTACTTGACTTTCGGCACCACATAGTAATGTGGTTATTTTCGCATAGGTTCATTTGAACGTCAAGAAACGGAAGCTAACCTTCAGGTGATTTTCTGTCCTGAACTAGGCACATTCCTTAAGCAAGGAAGATTCTGTGTAACTGGTCTACACCAAATAACTGGAAGACTTACAAAGAATAATATGATGAGTGTTTAAAAGAAGCTATTTACTATGAGAATATAAATTTGTATACTAAGTCTTACCTACTAGGGTTATGAAAGTGTCTGGCTGAATGGACTGCAAGTCATTTCGACGTTTTCAAGCTCTGAAGAAGACGAAACCGTCGAAACGTCAGCTCTTGTGAATGAATAAATGCTGTAATAGCAACCTCGGGTTTGCTCAACAAGAAATCAATGAACTACTGACCAATGGCGAGACTAAAAGAAAATCGATTCTGGGATTTGATAAATTAAGTATCGGGAAAATCGAGAGCTTCTGAGTCAACAACAGGCTCCCTTCTCCATAAACTTTTGGGCTGATGCGCAAGTGGTTCCAGGATGTTGCCAAAAACATCCGCCTGAACTCGCAAGGTTTCATAAAAGAGTGGTAAAGAAGCCTTCAAAGACAGAAGAACTGCAGTATTGCAGAAAATACAGAACGAAATCTGTCTGAAACGCCTGCGGTGATTTTGGTGATTAAAAGACGAAGACGACCGACATCGAAAAACAGATTGACGTCCTAATCACACTTCTGCAAGCTTAGAATATTCGTTAACGCTGACGCAAAACCACAACCTATCCCTTCTGAGATTAAGTACTAAGCTACCGAGAAGTACGTATCGTCTTCTAAGTAGTGAAAACAACAATAATAATTTTTGTACTTTAACATTCTCATTAGACCATCTAATGAGGTACGGAGCCATGAAGGTTGTGCAGATCCTTCTGTTACTGGTGACGAAGGCTTTCATGTAAGCAAATATGCAGTTGATTGTTCGAGAGCTTGCAGAGCTTGATGTAAGCATCGCAACTGTTCCCGCCCATCTAAAGGTTTCAAAAGTCGAGACAACTCGAAAACCCAATACCGTACGAATTGGCAACACATCGCACTATTGACTCTGCAAAGGTTGAACGAACTGAGCCACAAAACTCTGCCGAATTCACCACACAACCCAGACCTTAACGACTTCATCGTTTTTAGATGTCCAGAATTTTATGTAAGTAGTAAAAATACCTCCTAACGGTGTAACGCCTCATTGTGGCTCGTAGGAGTTCCTGGGCGTTGGGCTGCGTTGTACAACGGGGGAACTCATCGTCCAGTAGGGTCCCCCAAGCTGAGAATGATCCACCATCCACCATCGTTCTGGTATCAAACAAGTTGAATGGTAGCAAATCTCCCTCTGGTCCAGAAGGGACTGCCTGTAGTGGTGATGACCTGACGCATATTCTGGCCTGGCTGAATTCGGTACGCCAGGGAACCACAATGGCTAAACCAGCAAAACTTCAAAAAAGTGAAGATTATGCTGGGCTCAGTTCAACCAGTGAGGAAAGGTCATCCAAGTATACAAGTACGTAAGTATAAATAAATTTGTTTGACTTTATCAAAAATTTTGACGCGAACATAACCATTTCACGACAGTACATCTTGATTTCAATCTTCACCTTAAGTTCGTTCCAATGACACGCGTCCGATGGGCCACGCGAAAATGGACGGGATAATGAAATGGTTAAACGTTTGTTTGTAGAAACTTTTTAGTGCACAGAGTTGACCAATATTCTTCTCATCTAATATTTTCACGTAAATACAATACTTCGTGTTCGCATAACACCTCAACGAGCCTTTATAGTCAATTAATAGCTTGCCGAACACATTATATACTGGGGCTGGTGTATGAATAGGTATTCTCAACCATACGTGCACAAAGACGTTTCATATCATAGGGTAGACTGGGGTCGGTGGATATAAAAAGCATAAAAAGACATGGAGGCACACTTCAACTGTCACAAAAAACCATGCGGAAAACTAATAACACATGTTTAGATAATGGATAGTTTTTTTCATCACACGCAAAAGAGTTAGATCACACATCAGAGGTGTCCAAGAAAATGGAAATATACAAGGGCGGTGGTTATGTAAAAGTTAGAGAGACAGGGAAGAATGTGAAGAAACAGAACAATGGAACGATAATCGTAAGAGGCCAGTGCGCTGTGCCTCTTGCGCGGACTTACGAGCTGTACATCTCCATTTCAATGAGCACCTCAATGGCTCTCCAACAACATGTGGTCAAAAAAGGGTTAAGAAAAAGGTTGAAATCTTGCATTAGTTCCCGAAAAACCTAATGGTTTATCTCACCTTAGGATATGCCTTACTTACATTCTTTCTTTACTCTTAAGATAGTATTAGCAGCGAAAACACAACAAACAAAAAAACTACAAAATTGCAGAAAGTTTTTCAGCTATTTCAAAGCCTAGCCAATATTATAACACTGGTAAATTGATACCGGACTACAGAGCATCATCATTCACGTGACACTAGCAAATATCCGCAAGTATAGGCCAAAAATTCAATCACTCAGCTCTACGATTCTACGAATGGAGTCGCATGCATGGAACATTCTGTCGAACTTTTTCGTGGCTTATGCCTTATGCTATTATAAATTGTGGCTAAGACACAGCTGTCTTTTTTTTTTTTTCGAAACCGACTTTCCTTGAACCTCGGTATCAATAATCAATATGTATTCTTTCTTTGATGAGCTTACACGAGGTTGATAATGATATTTATTCATTTTCGGCTTGAATGAATAAATATCATTATCAACCTCGTGTAAGCTCGTCAAAGAAAGAATACAGCTGTCATTGTTTACTGTATTTACTGACAAGTGAATCTATGAAGAATTTCAAAATTTATAAAACGACCACTTTTGCTACCGTGGGAACAAATCGGAAGTTGTTCTACTTCCATAACAAAAAATGATTTTCATGCTAGAGAATTTCTTCATCTACAGTCGCTGGTATTTCATTTAAAAAAGATGGTTTTGTACGAGTTGGCCTTTCAATGGTCAAAAGATAAACGCGTTTAGAAACATCAAACCAGCCCAAGCGAAACTGCGCTACATATAAAGATCAATAAAGATCGCGATATAAAACCGAAGCTACATAATGATTTGCAAGATGTGTATAACAGGTGCAGCATGGTAATAAAAATACAAATAACGTTAACCTATAGTGCAAAATATAGTTAATATTACACAGAAACATTACTGACCTTGAGCAGGTTTAGCCACATTTATCTTTTTATCCTCAGGAGCAGCAGTAATACTGGTTTCGTCTGAAAACTACGGTTCGAGAAAATAAGATAAAAAACCGAATTGAAAAATTTTAACATTAACACATTCATAACTGAAAAAAGCATTGAAAGAAAGAGTGGTAAGCTGAGAATCGCTCTGAAAGGCATGACACACTGAGTAATACATACCACTTGTTTTCTCCACCTGTGAAACTAATGATTCCTCTGAGTTCGAAGGTCCTTCTGGAGTCAGACAGAACGGCTTTGTGGGACATTCAGAATTAAGAACGGATTTCGTTGGAGTTTCATCTGCTAAATGTTAGACGTAGAAGTGATATAAAGAAGGAAATAAGTAGCGCTTGTGTGGATGACAGGCTAGTTTACCAAATTAACCACCTTAACATCTTCGGAGGTTTGATACCAAGGTGTTTTATCTTATCGATGAAAAAAGTAGACATTATTTCAACACTTGAGATTATTCAAAATATCTTATTTTCCGACTAAAAAATTTAGGCAGACAGACAGGGTTACTTAATTGTTAATACTTAACAGTAGTGGTAGTATTGAAAAACTGATTATTATCTAAATACTGCACTAATGACAACACTACCTACCCACGCTCCCAAACGAAAACAGCGGTTTCTCCTGCTTTCTTTCGACAGATGGAAAATGAGAAAATCCTGCAAAGTTCCATACGACATACTGCTAAGGAACCTGTGAAGTGGTGAGAAATGCATACCTGCGCTTCCAAATTCGACTGGTGGCTTCACATCTTTGACTTCGTAGTTGGTAGTTCCAACATCTAAATACGTAAAAGCACGGGATTTCACAGCTAAGATCGCTAATCGAGAGGTGAATAAAGAAAAATATTACGGTTCTCAAGATCTACTTTCTATTAACCTCGGTACTGGAATATGAATGCGTCGCTTTCTTGTTCAGGAATCGCGAGGTTGTTATACAACATACATTTACTTCCATAGAAAAACGCAATACAATACAACAGTAGCCGACGTTTCGGCAGACGCTTCAATAACACTTACAAAAAGACGAAAAACTCTGTGGCAATTGCATGATCAATTGTTTTTCGAGAAGCTGTTGATCATGCAATTGCCACAGAGTTTTTCGTCTTTTTGTAAGTGTTATTGAAGTATTTGGCCTAGTAGATTGCATATCAGTATACCCTTCGAGGCTCTGAAGAGGGCAATACTACCGAAACGTCAGCTACTGTTGTATTGTATTGTGTTTTTCTATAGAAGTAAATGTATGCTGTTTAACAACCTCTTGATTGCTAAACAAGAAAAAAAAATATTACTTTTTTATTCGTTAATGTGTTACTAGGTTCAAAATTTACCATAATATAACACTTATGATGCAATTTCACTAGTTACGGTAGAGTAATAATTACAAGTATGGACTGTAAGTGACAGTTCCTTCACATTTTTCCTCCCACATAGTATCAAGCATACAAGAGAAGATTTCAGCGCTACAAAAAATCTAACTGTGACTAGCTCAACATACTAGAAAGGAGGAAAAATTCATGAAAGAGCTAACGAAAGAGTTGCAACCAGGTTATATTGCAGATGACTTAGACGGAGCTTTCTAGAAATATTTGTGCAAATGAGATGTGCCATGGACAGTAAATGAAAAGATGTGAAAGCAATAAATTCTCACCAAGTGATGATTTTAAACCCTGAGCTGCTGCAGGAGTGATAAGTGGCTCTGAAAACGGTGCTACTTATGGCAAATAAATTCCAACGAAATTTCAAAACGGAAGACCTCATACAGACAAAACTTCACGTGTTTGATCAAATAACATTCACTTCAGCTGTCGTTGTTCATTCAACCTGATTCCCTACTTATCTGAAACTTAACCAACGACTGCCAACACCTTAGCCGTTACACTCACAGCTATCTGCTTCCAAATAGTTCTACATTTTCTATTCTTTTTGTGGATAGAATCTTCCTGCTCAATGATTACACCACCGTTATATCAGGGAAACAAATCCTCGCGACGAACAATTTTTATGAATATACGAGTATCTCAACGTGGAGTACTATCAGCTAATTTTCAAGAGCGAGTGTAGCTCGGTGGTTGGTGGTGTCCTGCAATAGACATTTGGTTTTGGGTTCGATCCCGCGTTGCAATTTCACTAAACCTTCCATCTTCTCAAGGCTTACTTGATACATCGGTAGGCCACCGCAAGTCATGGTATAGGGCAGACATGCATTCGTAGGTTTAAAAACTTTAAAAAACACTTGCTTTGCCTGTAATTCTCTTGACGACTCGTTGTAACGTCCGTTGATGCTTCCACTGAGAGTGAATCAGAGAACAGAGAGCTTTCAATTTTGTCTTGATCCTAAACGGGAATTTTTGTATAAATAGAAAATCACATACAGCGACCACTAATTGACCCATGTAATTGAAATAAGTCGTTTAGTTCTTGTTCTACACATGAAACAACAGTGATTTTTCACTTTGAACAAACAGCTACTTGTAAGATAGGATGTAAATATTAAAAAAAATGTCCTCCTATAAAAAACATGACTACTATTAACTGGCTAGTGAGAAATGTAGAGCTAAACTGGAAAAATACCTGAGAAATCTTCGATACGTCAGCGCAAGTTGGTCTCACTTACAAAGTGTAAATAAAGAGCATAATAAATTCCACAAAACTTTAACTTTCAGTTTCAAATTTAAACCACCGAATATAAGATATAAGCTGAAGCAATACTAGTGAGATGAGGCCGTCTTGCAAAAATTACTCACAATTTTCGTTTAATAGTATAAATACGTTATAAAAATAGTAAAAATAATCTACGTACAGTGACAGACTCAACAATACTTGTTATGGATGCTGCGGTGGTGGCGACAACTACACCTAAAAATCAGCCGGTGACCAAAAGTAACACGAGAAAACGGATTTATAATGGAGATCCGAACCATTTTCTTTCTTATCATTAAAGACGTTTGAAGTGCAGCTAGTAACGTTCGTTGTCGCTGCTGCCGGTTCTGACATCGATGCTGTTGTAGGCTCCTCGCACTCACCGAAAATAGTGGGCTATTCAAAAACGAATACTATGTATTATCGAAAGAACTAGAATGAAAAAAAGGGAAATATCATATTATTCAACAGTTCCGAGTACTAAAAGTGCAAGAAAAGATTAATCAATAAGAGAAGACATCAAAGTATCTATTGGCATTCGGTTTAATCATTCCAATGGACTTAGACAGAGAAAAGCTCTTTCGATAGTCAGTCGAAAAGTGCTTGCATACCGAAGCGATAACATGAGATATCAAGAGCTTTTCTGGAAGTTTCGTACGAAACAAATAAACCAAAAACTAAAATGCTGACTATAATCATACACATAAAATGGCTCAACAATATTTGGTCTACAATAAAGCGGGTCTGTAGAAACATAAAATGAGTAGTACTCACCAGCCGGTGGCATTGATACAACTGGTGGAGAAGCAGAAGGTACATCCGCTTGGGTGCTGGCATTCTGCACTGTTATCACAGGTTTACTTTTTATTGGAGGGATAATCTAAAAAGTTCACTATGTGTATGCGTAGAAATGAGCATTTAAACGAAAAAAAAACAAAGCGTAAAAACTAACTCAATGAAATTCTTTGAACAAAACTACAAAATTCCATTCTTTACTACCAAAAAAAAAAAAAACTTCTAAGAATCTTGTTAATCGCACCTTTTGCGTAAGAGTCGCTTCAATGCTGCTGGGATTTATAAACGACGAACTCAACGTGTCATCACTAGGAGCACAGCCAAATCGAAGTCTTTCTACCTTCTTTATCGTGTTTTTATCATCCTTCTGTAAACGAGTACTACTAGATATAAAGTTAAAAACTGACGTTACGTGGAACAAAATATAGTTTTCACAGAAGAAAATGGAAGAAATCCGTAAAAATCAGGGATTAAAGACCATAAAGAAATTTGCAATAATCCAAAACAAAACGACCAAGCAACCTTCTCCTTCAAAGTGGCAAGTAATCTTGTCCGCAATTCCATCTTCGATGCACTTTGTTGTGGATGTACAGGCTTCCATGAGTTATAAATGAAGACTGGGCCAGGAATTTCTACAGTTGACGTATGACTCACGGGTCCTTTAGAAACTCGTGAATCTGCTGTTGAGTTGGTCCTGCATCTAATCAGTTCATTAACTATTAAACGAACCTAACTATTCTAATACTACCTAACTATTCAATAACTATCACTATCGAAGTGCCGTCTATTTAATAAATTGTCCATAACCTATGAATATTGAGAAGTATTGATTATTCGTACCGAAGGAAACTGAAAGTCTACTTTCGAAAACACTCACTCAGTTGATGATGTGAAGTATGAAGCAGTTCTCTCTAGTTCAGCAATGCGACTCCGAACAACATTGGAGAAACGCGCCAAGTTCTTGAGGCCTTCATGTAGACGTCCCTCAAATTTCGGATCGAAGTCCGTCAAACGACGTGGCTGATTCCTCATCTAGTAATAATAAGAGGAGAAGCATGGAGCAAGAATTATAGTATATTGCAGACTAGTCTAGTCAAGGACTTACTGAGATCTTTTTTGTTTCCATTATTATCTTTTTCGCTTTATGAAGTTTCACCATAAAGTCTTCGTATTTCTGTACAACACTTTCATATTGAGTTCTCTGCAAAACGGCAAATCTAATTTTCTTCCCAAAAGACTCTTTATTGTTAAGAGCTTAACATATTATGGTGGACTGAAAAGCACAGTTAAGGTTACAGCCTGTTTTTTAACAAGAAATGTAACACCACCAATGCAGTCAGACCTAGAAAACGCATTCGTCAATTTTTCCGACTAAAAAAAACCGACCAAATAAAATGTTTATCTAATGACCCCGTGTTGTTGATAGTTACGCTTGTAACAGTTAAACCTCTTAACTTTTCCCAACGATCGGGCCCATCTTCAACGTACATGGATGCCGTTGGTTTTGCGGAGACGAAAAAAACAAAACCCGCACTCGAACGTGATTTCAACACGGCAAATGCTAGCTTCTCAACAAAAAATGGTGAATTTTCAACAGTAGGAAGACTTATCGGGTTCAGACCACCAGAGAGTCATGGGAGGGTTGCTACTATACGTTACTTACTGTATTTCATCTGTCAAACACATTCCTGTCAAATTTGGACAGGATTGTGCCACTTCTGTTGAATGTAATGAAAAAACGTAAAAAAATCAAAAAAGTTAAGAAAAATCTAAAGAAATCAACTCGATACCCATATAAGGAACGACGCCAGTTAACTAATAATTGCCGATAGTTTTCGGTTGCTAGAGAGTTTTTAAGTTTATAACTTTGAATTTTGTTTATCGTTTCGGACTATCGTTTTGGTCAAAAACTTAACATCACGATATTAAGCCATGCTAGTCGACAAAGACTTCAACTTCGGACACCATCGAGACAATGAAGAATGTGAGGATGTAGAAGATCAGTGTACAGTAACGACAGATTTTTATGATCATTTCCTGACCGATATTTGGGAGCTGGTGTTGAACAAGCTAGAAAGTGAACTCGGTAGCACAACAAAATTGGAGTGTGGTAATGGTATTAGAACGAAAAAACAAGAAGCTGCCATACCTATGTCATCCACATTTCTCGACACGACTCATTCTTTCAACTTATCAAGATCGGATGTGATTGAAAGCTAGAACTAGAGTTGCAACTACAGAAAGTTTGACGTGGACATAGCTGATCAGGTGAGGACATACTGTCCACTTATAAGAACTAGCAAATGATACGTATATTTTTGCTTCTTCATGTTTTAAACACTTAATTTTTCACTCATACTTTAGGTACACACAGCTCTTCCTCTATTTTGCCACTCAAACATATCTCCTGGACGCGTGGAGGATATCAAAATGGTGGTCTACTTCTGTTATGATAGATGCTGGGGTACTTCAACAACGTCCACCACTCATTTCGTTGAAGAAAGCGGCTCAAGGGGTTCAAAAAAATGTAGACGATGTGCGAGATACTGAAGGCAAAGCAGAGGAAAATGATCGGAAATACGTCACCAAACGTGCTAAAAAGGTTAGCACTAGATGAAGCTGTTGTAGGAAATATGATTATTTGGAATGTTTCAATAGTCGTAATGCAATGTGTATATAACCGATCTCCACATCTAGAAATTTTTGTCAACAATTTGAGATTTTCTTACTCTACCAAGATCAAATTTCTGTTCAATGAGTCCAAAAAATGCTTTTTAACTTTTTTGCCAACGGTAGTATTGCTAAAATCGAAGCGATTGTACAACGATTTCGGCCATCGGAAAGTGAAGTTGTTTTCGAACATGTCTATGATATCTACAGCTGCTGGGATTTTGTTTAAGAAACTGTAAAACTTTAGATTTCGTTTTCAACTGCTTAATAAAAACTTAAACTCCAAGCAAACAAAACCTGAGAAAGATCAAACGCCCTTAAAGCGAGAAAACAACGTGTCTTTCACTAACCTTCAAAATTCTTACTTTTTAAAGCTCTACTCATTAAGAAATTACTGCAATCAGATGAAAAATTAGCAAGGTCACAAATGTTTCAGAAACTGCTTTGAAACCCAATAAAAAGTGCGAATTACGGAATAAACATTTGGAAAATAAGTTTGTGTTTCTACTAAGAAAAAATTACGTATGAGAATAACCTGGGAGTTCAGAGGATAACCTGCGATTAGACCAGCATTCATGCACTGTTTCCTAGATACCGCATCCACATTAATGACATTCTTCTTCCCTGTAAGAAAAACATGGCTGATCTCACAGTAGTCTTCCCACACTGACACTCCAAAGTGACAGTCTTATTATGTTATTCGATTTTGGAGAAACTAGCATCAAACTGGTTTCTACCATAGAAGTTAGAATAACTACCTTTCAATGAATACAGTAAGTCGTTCATTTCATCTTCCAACTCGATAATCATTCGCCGAATTTCATCAATAGCTTCAACGTTATCTACATGGCTCAGAGATCCAACTAAACGATGAAACGCCGATAGGAGAACAAAACAGATAATATTTCAAAGAAAACATGCTTAGAACAGTTGAAAAACCTTGAATTTTAACGAAAGTGGGATAAGCAATTATGCCCATAAAATTTTGCAACAGTGATGTATTTATACAGAACATATTTCTTGCAGAAAGCTGGGAAAGAGAGAAAATAACCAACCAATCTCATGGATTCTTTCCTTATTTTTGGAGAAGTTTCAACAACCTATAGTAACCAATTTAAAAAAAAGTATGACTATGCATAATATACCTGCTTTGTCAATATGATTCCCAGCTTTGTGCAGATTTATACAAAATGAGTGTGAATTTCTGTGGTAACTATCCCAGCTTTTGAGGAAACGTTTTACCGATTCTTCAATCAAAGACTTGGTGGTGGACTGACCAGCTTCGGCATGTTTGTTGGGATCGACATTCTAAAAATCACATGAAAATGAACAGCCAAGAAGATATATTCTTGACACATCTCCAAATTATACTCCGTCTCACTTCTGACAAGAATTTTTCTCTGGATGGTGCAAATTCAGACAAACCGTGCGTAATCCCAGTGATATGAAAACCAGCTCCAATGGAGGGCTTAGAAGCGACTGAAAGAGACAAAAATGATTACCGTACTTCTTCATTTCTTCAGCTAAACATTTGGGCATACCTGCATGTTCAGAGGCCAAATTTTGAGCTGCCGAAGGTATTACAGAACCCACACTTCCTTTCGATTCACCGTAAGCTCCATAAAAAGATGGTTTTTGAGTCGAAGGTATTGTTTCCATTCCAAGATTACCAAGGTTTAGTTGACTTTTCGTTGTAATAGAATTCCTCCTGTTCCGTATACTATTTGAATCTACTCCACCGAAACCAAACGGTACACTTGAAGACAACTGAGTCGAAGACGGTTCCGATGATGACTCTGATTTTACAGATGTAGAAACGCCAACGGCAGTAACAATAGTTTTCTCCGTGTTAAAAGACGTAGGAACTTTTGTGTTAGAATTACAAGGAACAGCTGCAGATAGACGAATGCCACGACGGATCATACTAACATCTACTGAAGTAGAAGACCTGGAAAATAAACATATAGCATATAGTTAAATGTCCTATACATAAACATAAACGTTATATGTACGAATGCATAGATGTATTACTTGGACACTTCATTTGTTGTGCGGACCCCAACATAATCTTCACTTCCCCGGAATTTCGCCGATTTAGCCGTTGTGGTTCCCAGGAGACCAGAGGTCAGCCTGGCGAAAGTCTGTCCCAGGTCGTCATCACAACAGGGAGCCACCCCCCATGTGGATCAGAAAGAAATTTACCACCATACGACTAATTTGATACCAGGATGGTAATGGAAAGAGGTATCGATTGAGTCGTAGCTGGGCTTCCTAATGGAAACACCAGACTCCCTCTCAGCTTGGGAGGATGAATCCCCCTGCTGTATACCGCATCTCGACACTCAGGAACACCTCCCAGCCATGATGAGGCGGTAAACCGTTGGGAAAGCATAGATGTATTAAGTGCTACGTATTCGCATATATACAGGTATGTATATGTATACATATATATAATACATGTATACACGTAAATATACACATGTGTTTATATGCATATGCACGTATGTACACAGAAACGTTACGTATGAACGCGCGTGGGTAGAGAAGTGCCCGTAATATCATTCGCTACGCCACAAGGTCTAGGCTAAAACACGCCTCAACAAAAGGTCTCCATCTTTCCGGAGTCGCGAAACTGATACCGCACTTGACTGGGACTAACTCGTTTTCGACAACGCACGTCAAGAATTGAAGTAAAAAGGTAAAAAGATAAAAGGATAACGGCTGTGACGTTAAACAATCTCTTAAGGATACTCTACGAGTTGAGTTCACATAATCGTTGCAGAAATGAATGAATGCATATTTCTCCAATATATTCAATTACGGGGTGCTTATTAACACAAACAAGTGCCCGCTTATGATACTCAGGTGACTCACACATAACAGTCCGGATAGTCCTTTGAAGGAGGCGCGACCCAAAATGACTGCAATGAACCATCACTACGCAAAAGCATAACAGTAGGAAGGCGGCGAGTTGAAAAGTCCCCTAAAGGTACAAGAGATCATTTTATAATTCAAAGGAACAAATTTTTATAACAGTGCAAGGCGATATCTGCGACATTACTTTAACTGTTTTCAAGTTGGGAAAACTATTTGGAATACAATAAGTGAAGAAGTAGAATTCAAACTGAATATATCGCAAAAGTTAGAGTTATTTTATGAAAGCAAGTTACACTCTCACCAATCGTGCAGACTTCAGTATTCGAGAGGTTGACAGCGATACCAGTTATGAAATTCACCATTGTTGGTTCAGGCAACGACACAAGAGACGTGGTAGACCAAACCTAGTAAAACAATGTTAGCAACAATGCATTCAAACTGGAATCTTACTCACCGCAGTGTGCTTAGACAAGGAAAGCAGCTCGCTTGTTCCTGGTGTTACAATCAATACAAGATTCCAATCGACCAAAAGTTTTCTTGTAACACCGAACGACGACTGGAGGGGCAAATTTAGTGGGGTCCACGAAGGCGGTTTGTCCTAAAATACCAAACTGGTAAGGTTAAAAGAAAACCATGGAATGCAACCGTTGAATGGCATTGAACTTCCAACAAAAAGTATCTTATTGCCGCTAGTTTACAGTCCGAGCAGAGTAAAATACATCGAAATTGCCAGTTTCACGGTTGGTAGAATTTTAACTGATGACATTTATGGCGAAGAAATACTAGGAGTTAAAAGAGCATCACGTTTATTAATAAGGATAAGAAACAAGTTCCGGGAGTTGATCAATCCCTGAAGGATGCGCCATGCGTTCAACTTCATTAAGTATCGTTGGAGATGACTGAACGCATATCTGGCCTTTACAAAGACTTGCGGTGGCGTACCGATGTGTCGAGCTTCCAGACAAGTCTGATACTAATTTATTGACCCCGGAGAGATGGAGCACTTGGTGGGCCTGGTGCGCTAGGGTCGACCCCATATGTATTGCAGGGCGCCTTTGATCACTGCGCCACAAGCGCCCACGCTTACCAGTAATGAGGTTAACGGTCAGCTTAAGAACAATTCCAAGAATTAAGAGAGACCGACATAATAGTATAATCTGATGAACTACAGTAAGAAGTTTATTCGATAAAAAATTCAAACACACTGCAAATGACAATAGAATTCCAAAGCACATGATTCAAACCTTCTTAATGCCCAAAATAAACGCAGTTGCGCTTAAATTCTGATCGTTCGAGTAAACAACAAACCACTCGGTAGTAGAGAGCCAACATAGGCATATAATGTTGACTCCTGCAGCAACTTCTGGGGGATTTGTCACGCGGACAAGCTAAATAAAACTGTGTTGTCCTTCACTCAATGCTAGCCAGATATAAAACCACCCAAATTAGAAAAAAACATACTTCGAGATCAGGCTTCATTTGATAGATTCTCCCAAGTGCATCACTGATGACGAGTTGTTTCCCTTTTGGACTCCACGAAACTTCATAAATATTCGCATTGAGTTTCTTCTCTCCAACAATACTGTACTTCGAAGGATTCTAAGAGTGGAGATTCAATCTTTCATAAACTTTTCAAAAACGTCTGACTGCACCCAACTATGACCTAACAATGGATTTTGTTCGATAAAGAAATTCTCCCAACCACTGTGTACATACAAAGAAAGAGAATTATGTGAGAATCGAAATTTGAAGACGAGATGATACTTTCCTAACCTTGAGATAAAAGAAAAATTTGGATAGGGATAAGAAGTTCAAAATCTATTCAATACACACTTACAACGGTATCGATCTTGCAAATGCTCAAAGTTTGCCCGTTGTCTGAAGCCGCAAACATATCTGAAGTAGCCGGATTCCATTCGAAAGCGAGTCCTTGGGTAACTGAACTTCCAATCCGAATAGTTAATAAAGCAAAAGCCTAAACTAATATACTGGGAAAGCACGTCGATGCAAAAGAAATTAGGTCTATCACAGACCTCGCCAGGAATATCAACAGATAATGTTAAAACATCGTAAACAAGGACAAAACAGCCCTGTTGGTTGTTGACGAGCACTCCCAGAAAAGAGTCATCAGCGTTCAAACCAATGCTTACTATATCGCTCTAAACGAAACATCAAAAGAAACGGTGAGAGTGCTCCAAGCTAATAAGTAAATAGTCACAAAAAGCAAGGAAAAGAACTTCTCCAAACCTCGACTATTCCTGTAACTTTAGTCCGTGCCTTTGCTTCCACAACAGTACTTGTTATGTGAAGATTTCCCACACTGGGAAAAGCAATAAGCTAAATAAATACTGTCCAACCATCGCTTTCAGAACTTAACAAAGCGTATCTATCACAAACGATCTATCTATCTATCCATATATATATATATATATATGTACATATATATATATATATACAATATGTATAAACTACAGCGTTGCTAAGATATTTGCAAAACTCTGGCTCGCAGGTGCCTATGGTGGGGAACGAACGCACTATTTTTCTTTCCGTGGAGTAACCCGTTCACCACCACACCATGCGGGTCCTTCACTGGTGAACGGTATGGTGGTGAACGCGTTACTCCCCGGAAAGGACAATAGTGCCTTAGTTTCCCACCATAGACACTTGCGGTCCAGAGTTTTGCAAATATCTCAGTAACGTTGTGGTTGTACTTCGCTTAGTACCCTGCCATGAAATTGTAGTGGGGAGAAAACAAAAGGTAAAGCACTGCTCTATATACATCTCCAGCTTTCGAATACTTGGAGTGCAACTACATGTGGTTCCACTTCTAAATTGAAAAAAAAAGAATTTCAACTAACAACTACACGTAACCTCTAGTGTAGTCTATTACGATTTTTTTTTCTTTTGAAATAAACGCTTCAACCCTATCTTCTTCTATAAAGATAGAAAGAGGATTTCAAGACGCTAACAGCTACAAGACTAAATGGTATTATTACAACCCGGTGAAGTAACTCGTAAGGATAAAGGATAAAGTTTTAGGTGCTGATTAATGCTTGAGGGATACACCACGTATTCGACTTCATTAAGCATCGTTTTGAGGTGATTGAGTGCATAACTGGCCTTAACAATAACTCGCGGTGACCTTTCGATGTATAGAGCCCGTGCTGCTATCGTTCCAGACAAGTCTGGCCCAATTTGCCACCCAGGAGGGATGGAAGGCTTGGTGGGCCATGGGCGCGGGGATCGGTACCATGTGTATTTTGCAGGACGCCTCCTTTTTAATAACCATAGCGATTAATTACACTAACATCGTCAGCAATCTTTTTGAGTGCTAAATATGCGGCTTGAGTGGGTTAAAATTTGACACTCTTCAGAGCGTATTTATATTTAGACTATGAGTTCCCCACTGCTTCCACTTTTCTTCTGTAGCAAACTTTTGCAGAAATATGGGTAGCGAATCTTCTCCAAAATGCTATTGCAAACTGCTCCTAGAAACAAAATTTTATTAAGCTCAAATGTGACTAGTTTTGGATGGATATACCTTACTACGTGAAATACATTTGTAAGAATTCCTTAACGAGAAATTTACATATAATATTGACTACAACACCTTGACGTACCCGATTCTATAAGCTAATCTCCATTGACAAAAAGACCTCTAAGAAAAAAGTGCTTTGCAGGAAAGTCACTGGGAGATCTTTGTTAGAAAATTTGTTCAGAATAGACTATTAGTACTTTTTATGCGAGTGAATAACAATGAACAGGTTTAAACTCATTTATCCTTAATCTGGACAGCAAACGCAAGCAAACGTCTTACTGGTGATCTGTCCATTCACCTCTCAATAATGTGAACCTACAAACCCGAAGAACATGGGCAATTGCCTTTTTGCGTAAGGTAAGGAACATAAGGCTATATCTAGAAAGGAACCGAGCACCTAGAGAACACTAATCTACAACAATTATTTGAATTTGAACAAACACTGTCATACGGAAAACTTGCCCAAATATTCAACATTTCAGGAATGAACTCTGTATTGGAGTTTTTCGTTACTTTAACAGCAATGTTTCTTTTTGGTATTGTTGCCTTATTTTTTCTTGTCGCTACAAAGTTTCCAAGACAGAAATTACAAACAAGGGCCAGACGACACTTAATAGAACTAGCAGTCGAAGAAGAGGAACGTGAGGTAAGCAGCCCATAATCATCACATCGCGAAAGGACCATTCTAGTGAAAAAGTAGGTCGAACGACATTTAAAACAGCCATTCGCAAATAACGCTAGGTCTTCCTCAACAATAACTGAATTTACGACAAGAAAGCAGTAGAAAAAGTACCTCGTGGTTCTCCACATTCTTATAGAGCAAATACGAGGTGTTACTTTATTCTTTATTCCGATAAAGCTGACGTTTCGCTAGTATGGCCTCCGCCAATCTCGGCAATATAGAATAAAACTTCGTGTTTGCTCTACGGGAATATAGACGATTATTTTACCAATGCCGAAGCTAATAGAAGGCCGATCGTGGGTGTTACCTCGTGGTTGTTCGCAACAGCTACGGCAATGTTGTACTTCGACGCCACTACGAGCTTATGTTGAAAGTGAGGAGATGGAGTCGACGATCGAAAGTGTTCCAGACATGGAGATGCGGATGACAATGGATAGCACTGAATGGGCACAAAATCGTTAAAAAGGCAACTTGTAGATTAAAAACTGAAGCAAACTCCAACCGCAAAGTTGCCAGACATCGACGCGTTAACCAGATGGTCCCTTAAACTAAGACAGATCAAAAACAACTTCAAAGTCACTGGCAAATTCTGAAAACTGTTAAGAAGCACAACACCTGCCCAGCCTGGAAGTACCACTTTTGAAAACATGACAGACGTAAAATCCAATGTATGTGTAGAACTCAGACACACACAATATTGGCGTGTAATTTTCGGTGTTCACACCTTACTTTGCTGCACAAGTGGTCGGTAAATTAGCAGTACTTTGTAAGTTTCTTAGTAAATTTTTTCCCATTCTTCTAATCCATTCACTCATTTAATTTATTAATTTGCTAGTGTTGTTGTAGATGCATAGTTTAGTAGTATGGTATACAATTTCAGGCAGTTGTAGATTTTTCTGTAGTGCAGGATGTCCTCACCTTCATCCTATTCTGGAAGTAGTGCAGTGTATAGCGACTCATCACGTGCTAGCACACCTGAACCAAGTAATGCTCTGTCTGTGAATTTCCTACTTTAAATTACCATCCACGACGCTAAAAGTGTGGATGATTCTCTCATGGTTCTATACAGGGCAGTAGATATTCAAAAACGTATTAGAACTGGAATCACATGCTATCAGATCTTTGTCGTCAACGCTATTAAATGCTTACTTTTTCTTTCAAAAAGAAGTTAAGGCAAAACGTTGAGGGGGCGTAATTTGGGTTACGCCTAAAGTTTTCGGTGAAGTGTAAACATCTCTGTAATAAGGACAGATACGGAAAATCCGTTATGTAATAGTATCAAACAATTTCGGAATCGGTGCTTAGAGATCGGTCTTTGTGCAGTTTTGATATTTATGTTCTTCACAGAATAAGAGGCTGGTAGCACAGTGGTGATGCCGGTTATCACGAGGGCGGTTCTGTTTCAATACCGCACCGGGTTCAACAAGCCTCTCATCCCTCCTGGGCCAGGAAATTGGTGCCGGACTAGTCCTAGCAAAATCATTCTATGCGATCCAGTATGGGAACGCTTCAGCCTGGCTATCCCAGGACTCCATGGTGTGTCGACTCAACCAGTACGCAACCACATCTTTGATGAAAGCAAAATCTTCAAGCAGCAACGTAAGCTACACGTAAACATTGGAAGGTTTTAGAGGATGTCAGATGCGAGTAAACGGATCGAATGTGAGCAGTGCTGGGATCCGCACAGTAGATGTGAAAAACGGGTCGTATAAAAAAAGGGGCGCGTGTGGCGCTGTGGTCGGAGACGCCCTGCAACACGCATGTGGAATCGATCTCCGCACACATGGGCCACCAAACCCTACATCCTTCCGACGTAGGCAAACTGGTACCAGACTTGTCTGGGAGGATAGAAGCACATGCTCGATATATCGGTAGGCTACCGTGAGTCATTGTAAAGGCCACATGTGCATTCAAGCATCTCCAACGATGCTTCGTGAAGTCGAATGCATGGCGCATCCTTCAGGGATTGATCAACTTCGAAAGCTTTATTTTTTATGCAGTGAGCCATCAATGTATTCCTCTGTACTAAGTCAATAGTCAAATATGTTTTTATGATGGACATATTATGAATTATTATTCTTTACACAGAAGATCTGTTCTAGTTGTTCCTCCCTCAGTAACCGTGGGAGCACCTACTCAGCCTGGAGAAAACGTCGTTGTCGACGCATCTTCTGAATCTGCAGCACATGTTGAAGTTGAACACCATTCGAGCAGTGATGACGACCCCTTTGCGTATTCACCTCATGTAGGTTCATTGACTAAGTTGTTTTTCTAGATTTTTTTTTAGTTCGTTCCTTTTTCTAGATAATTTTGACAAGTGCAGGATAGCTGTTCTCCTTTCTTCATGACAAAACGTCTGTTTAGAATGACGATATCGGATCCGATACTACGCAGGATTCTTCTGAGGATGACTCTAATGATTCTTCTAGTCTCAGCGATGTTACTGACGAAATCAGCAAGCGTCGGTTTCTTTATGTTTACACTCATTTATATTTTCTTTTTTCCCTAATTAGTTCGACGTACTTCGCCGCGGTCTACCGCCTAATCGTGGCTGAGAGGTGTTCCCGGTGTGTCGAGCTGCAATGCACAGCGGGAGGTTCATCGCCCAGTAGTGCCTCCCAAGCTGACAAGGAGTACAGCGTTTCCACCAGGAAGCCCACCTAAGAGTAAACCAATATCAGGATCCACCGCCGTCGTAGTATCAAACTAGTCGCATGGTGGTAAATATCTTGATCCACAAGGGCAGCGAGTGTCTCGATTGGTGAGGACGTGTGGAAGACTTTGGCTAGGCTGATTTCTGGACTCCAGGGAACCACAGTGGCTAAACCAGAAAAACTCCGAAAGCTGGGCATTACGATAAGGCCCGCACAACCAGTGAGGTCGGGCCGTACAAGTATCCAAGCAAGTGGGATGTAGTAACAAGTGGACGTTGGCCATCAATTTTTGTTTTTTTCCTTGCAGAAGGAAGATTCGTTATTATTAAAGCATGTTTTTACAGAAGAAATCATCAGTTATTATTGACTACAAGCGGATATTAATCCCGTCTCCTTTGCACCCCAATCCTGCCTAGTAGTATCGGCACGCCCTTTCTACATGGGGAGCATCGAACTTCTTGGGGAAGAGATACCTTGCTTTCACGGATTACCTGCGTCACCTGTCGTTCTGTTGGTCGTCAAGTGATTCGAGCGAGCGCCAGCGAATTTTCCATTCTTCCCTGTCGCATGTAAAATCCCCCCGCTGGGTTGTGCTTTTACGGATACGTAGCAAAAATATAATATTGTAATACGCAGTACATGTGGACTCAAAGTCCCGATAACATACGATCTCTGGTAGAATTTGTCCTAAATTTTTTCATTGCGTTTTCAATATTAGTTGTCCAGAGGTGGATAGCACATTGGCAGTGGTGTCCATCATCACGAGCATGGTGCTAGTTTGATTCAGCTCCGGGGTAACCAAGTCTCTCATGCCACTGGGGTCGGGAAATTGGTACTGGACTTGTCTGGGAAAAAAATCATTCTCTGGAATCCAATTCGGAACGCTTCAGCTCGGCTATCTCAGGACTCCAGAGAAGATTGCTCGACCAGCATTCTACGACATTCAAGATGAAATGAAGATCCTCAAGCAGCAACCGAAGCTACACGTAGAGTTGGAAGATCCTTGTACACAATGGATGCAAGGAAACGAATCGAATGTGAGAAGTGATGGGATCCGCATAGCAGACGTGAAGATGGTTCATATAAAATAAAATAAAGTAAAAAAAAAAGCTTAGTTGCCTACATTTAATCGCAGGTATCGGTTCTTTAAATGGAATTACTACAAAGCGATGCAGTAAGTAATGTCTTCAGTCTTTCTACGTCATTTGACATATGCATAACAAACTTTTTTTTGCAATGTCTGGTATGCTTAATTTTCAGCTAAGCCGGAGACTAGTCCGTCTTCACAAGAAATGGGGAAACTCATAGTGGATTATCTCATATCTGAAGGTTACAGGGAGGTAACGTCCATCTTGTTGAATTCCTTGCAACAAAACGTAATTATTGTAGCTTATTGCCTTGCTAACATCTATGAACTTGTTTCTTGAGGCGGCTGAACTGCTATGTCAAGAATCAGGGTTAGAGCTGCCAAAGGATGACATCAAAAATTTGGACGCTCGTATGAATATCAGATGTGCAATAATAGAAGGGCGATTAGAAGACGCTTTACGTTTGGTAATGCTACACATCGTTTAAATTCAAAATATTAATTGTGGATAGTATTGCGCCTCCCAACGGTTTACCGCCTCATCGTGCCTTAGAGGTGTTTCTGAGTGTCGATCTGCGATAAGCAGAGGGGGTTTCATCCCCTAGCAGGGCCTTCCAAGCTGAGAAAGAGTCTGAGGTTTCCATCAGGGAGCCCAGTTAAGAGTAAACCAAAACCAGGGTCCGCCACCGTTCTTGTATCAAACTAGTCGCATAGTGGAAAATTTTCCTGTTATCCACAAGTGTGGCGACTGCCTGTGATGATAACGACATGGGGTAGACATTGGCTAGGTTGACCTCGGGATTTCGGAGAACCACAGTAGCTAAACCAGCAAAGCTCCGAAAAGTGGAAATTATGCTGAGGTCCGCACAACCAGTAAAACGGGCCATTCAAGTACTAAGTAAGTATTGCGCTTCATATGACATTCCAGAGTTGTAGGCAATTTTGGTGAACTAAACGGTATGCTAAGTATTCAAAAGCTTGTCAATTAACCTGTGTGGAAAAATGAGAAAGCGCTTCCGGATGTAGATTTATTTGTCATGTTAACAAATTCCAAGTATATGCCATAAACAAATCGGATGTTATTTGCAGGTCAAGGAACTCTGTCCAACCCTACTTGACGAGAATCGAGAAGTTCGGTTTCATCTTATGCAACAGAATTTAATTGAAATGATAAGAAGAGGGTGAGTGTCGCATAATTTACAAATTTGTTTTAATCGTAAAAAAAAAGATCCTTTGCTATCATAGCTCTTTAGTAAACCTCTATTCGCTGCTTGTTCACTCCTCATGTTTTCTTTGTGCTCATTAAGACTTTTTCTGTTGCTAATTTTACTTTCCAGAGAGATGGAGAAATCTCTGGAATACGCTCAAGAAAACCTTTCAAATGATAACATGTTGACGGATTCTCAGTTGGAGAGATTGGAGAAGACGTTTGCACTTCTGGCTTTTGAGAAACCCTCGGAGAGCCCTTTCGGAAAATTGCTAGATCAGTCTCAGCGACAAATGGTTTGCTATGTTTCATTGTTTTCATACATTTTGATTCTTTCCTTATCCGGCAACTCGTAATAGTGAAACCACTACAGTGGTTTCAAACAATTTTATTCAATATTTACTCCTCAGTCTTAAAGCGAGAGTAAGATCCTTTTGATTATTTCGGTATTTCCCTTTATATCACAAGGGTAGGGAATGTGGAAGGAAATTGGCTAATGTAGTAACGATGTCAAAGATGCCAAGAAAAGGAAGATCTAGGCAAGTACTTCATAAGGAACTATTTCTTCAACGAGAGATTGTGATTTTAAGAAAAGCGTACTTTTGCAACGTTAGGTAAACAGATCATACATTTGTATGTAATGCTGCGATATTTGCAAAACTCCGGACCGCAGGTGTATGCGGTGGGGAGCGAACACGCGCTGTTGTCTTTACCGGGGAGCAGCGCACTTCACCACCACACCATCCGGGTCCTTCGTTTTGCCTGTCTCTCAGCTAGTTCTATCGATTAAAAAGAAAAAGGCAGTAAATAAAAGGGTTAAGATTGTGATTATAACTAAGCCTCAGCTTAACTGGGTTCAATGCCGATTTGGGCTCCCCAGATCAATCCCGTTGACGGGTGATTGCTGATGGCAAAAAGATCGATAGAACTAGATGAGAGACAGGCAAAACGAAGGACCCGGATGGTGTGGTGGTGAAGTGGGCTGCTTCCCAGTAAGGACAACAGCGCGCGTTCGTTCCCCACCACATACACCTGCGGTCCGGAGTTTTGCAAATATCGCAGCATTACATACGAGTTATATTTCGCAACATGCCCTGCCATTAAAAAGAAAAAGGCAGTAAATAAAATGGTTAAGATTGAGATCATACATTATTATACCATTACTTTGATGACCATCTAATCTTCTAAAGATTCGATGGCTTTTGTAGTTGTGAGCTGTTCAGATTGTTTTAAGGTGTCCACTGAAGTTAACGGCGCTGTTCTCCGGGCACTTAATCGGCCAGCTGCTCCTCGTTTGGAGGCGCTGTTACGGATGATCGTATGGGCCCAGAAACAGCTCATAACTGAACGAGAGGATGACAAGACTTCGGTTCCTCCTTATCCAAATACGGGGAGGTATGGTATGCCTACTTCTGGTCCTTCCTCTGACACAAACACGATCGCTAGGACGCTTTTTGGTGGAACTTCGTGCTGATTTACTTGTAAATGTGCTTTCAATTTTGTAAGCATAGTGTTAGCTTATGACATCTCTTATATTGCATCATGTTCTCTAGATTATATTATTTTATTTAAATCCAGTTTCGGAGTTAGTAATAAATTATATTATTTAGCACTGTTCTAAGTGTTTATTCGGTAAGTGTACATATAAAAAAAGGAAGTAAACCTATATTATATGGAGGGAAATACTGCTTAAAACTTTATAGATGATGAACCCTATTGGCGAACAAGTAACACTAACATTTTTTTTATATGACACATCATCACATCTACTGTGCGAATCCTAGCACTTCTTGCACTCGATCCGTTCTCTTGGCATCCAAAGAGATCAAGTAAACCTTACCCGAACTCATGTAGTCACCGTCTCTATCGTTAGGTAATACTGTACAATTGTACATTGTGCATAGACGGTCATATAGGCGGTTTCGAACTAACTGGCGTCTTAGAGTGTCCAGTTGGATTGGAATGGGAATGTCTACATTTCGCGCAAAGTCCAAAGGCGCAATGGCTACTTAGTGGTAGCTACTCGGGAAGGTGTAGAGGAAAGAAAACACCCCAAAACGATAAGTGTAATGAAATAGGGTCCATTCATCCTACACTTTATTTCAAGCGAAATAAGCACAGTCATAAAACGTTGCTTAAAAAGAGCCGGTTTACATAAGTCAGCAGATGTGACTAAAAGACCACGAGACATTCAAAGACGCCAGTAAGTTCGTGACCACCTATATGACCGTCTATGTACAACGCAAAACTGTATAATATGCCCTAACGACTAACGATAGAGAGAGTAATTGCATGAATTTGGTTTATCCGATCTCTTGTAAAGCGGTTGGGGTCGAACATATTGGCGAAGCGGGTGAACCAACCACTATGTGCCCGTAAAAAAGAGCACCTAGACCACAAGCGCAAAGTTAAACACAGTATGAATGCTTCGTTTTCTTGCTCAGCAATCGCGAGGTTTTTAAACAGCATACATTTACTTACATAAAAACACAATACAATACAACGCTAGCTGACGTTTCGGCAGTATCGCCTTCTTCAGAGCCGCTTTTTCGTGACTTCCAATGAGGAAGTTTAGAACAGCTGATTATAGTCGGATGCGACTTTTCGAGCGTTTGCCCTTTGTTCATATTGTCTGTTATATAGGATATAGCAATGATTGGAGGAAGATGGTTTACACAGTGATGTTGATTTTTCCAGCAGTCCTCTATGCTCGGTTTCATGAATACATGTGCCAAGTTTTCGAAGTAAATCAAATAAGTGGCATTTTTATCTACCTGTAATGACGTCTGCGTTCACAAGAGTTGAACCCAGACTTGAATGTGAGTTATGTGTATGACTAGATATTCTAAAGTTACAATCATAACCGTTTTATTTACTGCCTACTCTTTGTTTTTTTTTTAATGACAGGATATATTGCGTAATCTAAGTTCAACGGTGCTGAGATATTGAGAGGGAAGCCCAAATCGAAAATGAACCCAGTTAAGCTGCAAGATCAATCCCGCTGAGGGGTGATTGCTGATGGCAAAGATCGATAGAACTGGCTGAGAGACAGGCGAAAAGAAGGACCTGCATGGTGTGGTTGTGAACGCGTTACTCATCGGAAAGGACAATAGCGCGTTCGTTCCCCACCCAAGACACCTACAGTCCAGAGTTTTGCAAATATCTCAGCACTGTTAAATTTAAATTCTAAAGTTGTTTGTGCACTTTTGTCACCTTGCCGTGGTTAGGGGAACGCTTATATCCGGGACTGGTAACAGATCCTTTTGTGAGTCATAAAAACTGATCGTTGGACGGATGGCTACTTCAACCCACATAAATAAAGCAAATTCTACTAAATAAACGCGAACCAATACTTGAATATTTAAAAGGACCGTCTACACCGGCTGCACCGGCCCCACCATAACTTCAATTTTTCGGAGTTGTAACTGCCACGACCGACTTTCTATTAACCTCGGCATTGATCAAGTGATTTTGTTCGCATTTTTTTGAGCAAACGCGAGGTGTTATTGTTCTTTGTTCACGATTAAGCTGACGTTTCGGCGAATTTCGCCTTCTTCAGAGCCTGGAAAGGTCAAGTTGATAGCAACTCACTCGGCCAGACGCCTCCATAACCAAACAAAGAAACCCCAAACCAAGATTTCAATCACTTTGAACACAGCTTTGCACACTCACCGCTTTCTATGAGGTCTCCACTAAGTATGTCACGTAGAGACCAACCGCACAGAAATCACGTGGAAGTATAATGTGCCCCTCACATCAGAAAAGCAGTTTTATATACTGCCCTATATCACGCGTGATAATGAGGCATTCTTCCCTGCGGTTCATTTTTTCGGAGTTGTGCTAGTTTAGCCATTGCGGTTCCTTAGAATCGCGGGGTCAGCATGGCCAGGGTGTGTGCCAAGTCTTCTTCACCACAGGCAGCCCTTGTGGATCAAAGGGAGATTTGCCACCATGTGACTAGTTTGATACTAGGATGGTGGTGGATCCTGGTATTGGTTTACTCTTAGGTGGGCTTCCTGATGAAAAAGCCGGTCACCTTCTCAGCGTGGAGGACCTTGCCGGGGAATTGAATTACCCTGCTGTTCATCGCAGCCCGACACCCAGGAGCACCTCTGAACCATAATGAGGCGGTAAACCGTTGGAAGGAGCATGAACCATAAGTAGAAACCTGCCCGCACATATAAATGAAATTAGTCACTGTAGGAACTGTACCGGAACCACCTGTAACGACGAATGTTCATTTTATGTGCTGAGAAAGTTTGAAGGTAAAAGATAACGTGTTTTGAATTGACCAATACCTTAAGGATGCGTCATTGCAATCCACTCCATCAAACATCGTACAGATTACAGGACGCATATTTCCCTTACACAGTTAGTCCGCTGGCACACCGACGTATCAAGTCAGTGCTTTTATTCCGCAGCCCAGTTCCTTTACCAATTTTTCTGCTCCGGAGGGATTGAGGCTTAGCTAGCTCGAGATGCAGTGTCAAACCGACCATGCATATCGCACTAGTCATCTGTAACCACTTGGCCACCTTACAGTTTTAATTACCTTGATCCATTTAAGCTCTTTGATAGTTCGCCGCCTTAAAATAACGACGGAGCGCTTGTCGTCGTAGAATGGTGATGTACGGTAAGAGTTCACCATGCCGAAGAGAGTGGAATAATTATATTTCGTTATTCATATCCGAAAACCCAGCGCTGAAAGTAAACCAATGCCATGTACTATTGCGGTGCTAGAAGAGACATGTTCGCAACGTTGCAAACACCCGTCCGTGCTCCAGATGGAAGTGTCACCGCTAGTGATAAGGAACCTCCTGATACGGTTGTCTCTCGATTTCACGAAAAGAAAAGAGCTTCGCTAACAAGCAAAGTCCGAGTGAAATGAAGTTGCTCCTTACGGCAGCACCACTTTTTGTGTCGTTCAGGTATCCAGATGAATGTGCTGAGTTATTGCTATTCTTCATATCTTCTGAACTATGCATGCAACACAGCATTGCTCTTCGTTGTAGAATTTGTAAATTTAAAGAAAAAGTTTTGAAAACTTCTCCGCACCTCTGGTCTTGAGAATTGAAAAACAAATGAGCACGAGTACTAAGACGTCCAATGAAATTCACGAGAAACAATAACAGATGGTGGTACCATCTCCGAGTCGGCGTATAGATGAATCTTTCTAATGGATAACATCCACCATCGTACGAAATATTTCAGCTACTCATTTTTCACGTTTCTTTTTTGCTTGTATCATCGACCTAATTCGTCGACTATCTACCAGTTTCGTCCTAATGACTACATTTAGCCGACATGCAAAGACTTGTTCCTTCGTTTTTCTTCTTCCCGTCATTGTTATCCTTTCGATATTCACGGGATGGCCCAGTTTGCTGGGCGATCCGGGCAGCCGGTTCGGCCCCCCGCCAGGCGCACCCGGCTGGCTGAGTGTAAAGCGACACACCACCAACTCCGCTGCCGACCCCACTCTCCATACCTCACTTCTCTCTTCGCCATCAAATTGTTGAATCCTTGTCGGATCCATTTCCTCGTGATGATACTCCATCCACACTCTCTTCGTGCACTTATTCTACTTGCTCTGACCCCGAATAGATGGAGATGGTAAAACTAAGGATTGAACTGGCCTGAAATGCAGACCTCATTGAATCTTTCATCATTTCTTTTTCAAATGTCTTTTTTTTCTCTGAAGTAAATTCGAAAGAGTTATGACTTCCTTGGAAGATAGTTCTTGGGTAGTTGGTAATCCATTAGGTGCAAAGTAGCAGTGAAAGGTTGAGCATATGCGGCACAGTTATCGTTGACTTAGTGTTGGTCGTCACTTTCCGATTCTGATCGATTTTTCAAATGTGTAAACAAACTGTGTTTTTTTGTGTGGGATATAAGTTTAAAGAGCTGAGATCTTTTCAGTTTACAAGCGTGGTAGATGAATTCTTGAAGAAAATCATAGATAACTAACTAGGACAATCATAAATGTAGTGGCAAATCCATATTCGAATCTATATGCATTATTGATCGATAATCATGCTTTTAATATATATAGAATGTAGGAAAAAGAATTTGGAAAATAAATGATGAAATAAATCTGGATTTGCGAACACTTTCAGTTCCCACCATGTGCAGCTGCTTAGCGCTAGATTGAGCAGCTGCTGCGACAAAACAGTGAAAGGCTCTAGTCACTCAGTGAAACATATGCTCCTACTTATTTTCCTTGTTTTGCTTAATAAATCCGCTCGCTGTATTAGTATAAAAAGGAAAATGGATAAAGTGTTTGGCGTAGATCATTCCCTGAGTGATGCGCCATGTATTGGATTCCATTCGTAATGACTTAGAGGTGATTAGATGCATGCCTCACCTATGCAGTGACTTGCGATCGGTGGCCTAACGATATTTCAAGTCAGGGTTGCTGTTGTCCCAGACAAGTGTGCCAGGAGGAATAGAAAGCTTGACCAGTTCGTGGCTTGAGATCGAATGGTCACGTGTGTATTGCGAAATAACTCTAATGCCCCACAAGCACCTCATCAGTAAATCGAAGCATTTCTGTTGTTGGAAGAAGGTAAGGTATACAGAAAAATACTAGAAATCGATAAAGTTTGATTTCTGAATAGGAGTGAAGTTCTCCTTTAACGAGATGAACTAAGTATATTAAAGTAACGAGAACTATTACATTATTAAATAGACTACAGACTACATGGACTAGTAGGGACTCGTGTTGCGCAGTGGTCAGAGGCGTCCTGCAATACACATGGCATCGATCTCGAGCCCCAGGCTCACCAAAAAGAAATTTCCGGAGTCTTCAGGCTGGTACTAAATTCGTCTGGGAAGATATCAGCACTGACTTGACACATCGGTAGGCCACCGAGGCCCATGTTATAGGCAAGATATGCATTCAATCACCTCTACAATGCTAGGAATCGAGTCGAATGCATGGAGCATCCCTCAGGGACCGATCAACGCCCAGCGCTTTATCCTTTAGCTTTAATATCTACTAAAAGAGCTCCTACACGCTTTTCTCAGCATTATGAATAGAAAATCAGTGGAATTTCGGAAACCGACTGAAAATAACCAATTTTTAACTCTCAGTTAAATGAAGGAAAAGAAGAACTAAAGAAGAAAGAAAGAAAGAAAAGAAAAACAAAGTTTTATACGAACACCGTGTTAGCTAAGTAGCCTGAGAAAATAATGACTGATTTTGCTTTATGAATAGCACATTTTGTACAATTATAAATATGAAATGGTGAAATGCGGTCAGATGTCTACGAACCCTTGGGTGTCCGAGACGACGTCCTGAAAACTTACAAAAATTCGGATTCACTGAAGAAGTGTGGTTGTTGAATATTAAAACGAAGTTCGAGGTAGAAAGTAATTTTCTCGATTTGAAAAATGACTCTGTAGGTGTTCACTAGTTCCTTACCTTTCCGAGAAGACCGATTAGCATTCCGTAAGGGAACATCCTCCTTACGCTTTCTGTGACCGTCTCTCTAGTAACTTCGACATCGATCCACAGCTCCTTGTTTTTGATGACCTACTACGGGTTTTTTACCGTAGGATCCAGCTTCTTACAGTCCACATTGTGCCATATTCTGCGTTCTTTTTTGTTTTTATTAATTTCTTAGATTCATTATTAAGCGTCCTCATAAATTTTTTTCTAATTCCTAAATCCAAAGTGCGTTTCATTATTTGTGATGAACTGCTATCATTGCGCTGTTCGACTACTTACTACTTGGATATTTGGATGGCCCGTCCTCACTAGTTGTGCGGACCCCAGCACAATTTCCATTTTGCGGAGTTTTGCTGGCTTAGCCACTGTGATTCACTGGAGTCCCGAGGTCAGCTAGGCCAAAGTCTGCCCCAGGTCGTCAACACTGCAGGCGGTCGCAGCTTTTGTGGATCAGAGGGAGATTTGCCACTATGATAACTAGTTTGACACTAGAATGGTGGTGGATCCTGGTATTGGTTTACTCTTAGCTGGGCTTCCTGATGCAAACGCAGTCTCAGCTCTGGAGGCCCTACTGGAGAGATGGATCTCCCAGCTGTACATCAGGGCAAGACGCCCAGGAACACCTACCAGCCACGATGAGGCGGTAAACCTTTGGGAGGTTAGAAGTAATACTAGGTAGTAAATAGAAATGAAACGTTATCACTGAATGGCCGGTGAACCTTCTATGGGATTACCAAGGAAAAACAGATTTGAAATTGGCGCGCAGCCGTGAGCGCGCGCATTTTGGCCAATCGCGTGCGACGGGCGGTCGGCGGCGGTGGGAATGCGGCAGCGTGCGGCCCCAACCCTCTTCCATCTCGACGATTCGTTGAGGTAGTTACCCTTTTTGCTTACTTAGCTGGCATCTAGATGTTTTTCAGCTCAATATTTATAATTTACTGGAGTAGGGAGTTCTATGTGGGACCACTGTGACTGTGAGGATGAGTTATAGTGTTCCCAGAGGCAAATCCGTGGAACGATAATGGATTTTTCATCGGAGAGACGTTGCTGACCCACTTTTTGGTACCATCGCTACTGTTTGCTACGCGCCCAGTTGGGCTGTACCGATACGACTTCTGTTTTTTGTAGAATTTTCAGTGCGGTGTGTCGACATTACTATCCGAGCAACAACTTGTTTGAGATTTTACCAGTACTAGTTTCGAGCTTCGTGTTGATCACGTCAGATGTTTCACATTGTCATGGGGAAGCAGAGTTTTCCATTTACCACTGTTCGTTTTTGAATAACCGAGTGTACGGGCTGCATTTGGTTGTTCTGATGTAACTTACTGGTACCTACAGTGCATGGGATTGTTGTGTAGATATTGTGGACTTTCGATTTTCATATATTTTGTTGAAAGCCGTATACGTACTTACTTGGACGCTTGGATGGCACCTCTTCGGCGGTTGTGCGGGCTCCAGCATAATCTCTATTTTCACGGGGTTTTGCTGGTTTACCCGTTGTAGTTCTCTGGAATCGCGAGGTCGGCCTGGCCAACGTCTGCCCCAGGTCTTCACCACCACAGGCAGTCACAGCCTTTGTGGATCAGAGGAAGATTTGCCATCACGCGACTTTGTACCAGGACGGTGGCGGATCCTGTTGTTGGTTTACTTTTAGCTAGGCTTCCTGATAGAAACGCCGGTCTCCTTCTTAGTTTGGGAGGCCCAGTCTGATACCCAGGAGTAGGATTACTCTAATGAAGTTTATAGTTAGTTTTTCTTAACCACAGAAATCGTTAGGTCAGGTTGAGGGCGAAGACCAGTATGCACTAGTAGCGCAGTATCGATCTATTGTTATACTATGTTTAACTGTTTGATATTAAAAACTAAAAAAAAATCGGCTTTGTAGTTACAGTTAAAAAATGGCGCTTTGATGCCATGATATTGGCGAATGTGATGGTATTCGTCTTAGGTGATGACTTCTGGATCTACTAAATTCCATTAGAATCCGCTCACAAAATGCATTCTTCCATAAAAAGGATAAAGGACAAGGCTGTCGGCATTGATCGATTCCTGAGGGATGCGCCCTGACTTAATCGAGCATCATTGGAGATGATTGAATGCATATCTGACCTTTACATTGACTCGCCGTGGTCCACCGATGTATCGAACCAGTGCTGCTATCCACTGAGACAATTCTGGTACCAATTTTGCGATCCCGCAAGGATGAAAGGCTTGGTGGGCCCGGGGCGCAAGGAACGATCCATTGTGTATTGCAGGGCTCTCCTGATCATTGCGCTACACGCGCCCCTGATTCTTTCGTGAACTTGTAAAACTCCCTCAACGTGTTTTTTTTGCTTCCGCATAATGATCTTCTTGGTGAGTGCAATTTTGTTCTACAGCATCTTTTCACTCGTTTTTCTGCTATTGCTGCCTATTTAGGTGTTCTTAGGAGGATCAGACGACGCACCTAAAAAAAGTAGTGTGGGCTTCGAATGTTGCTCAATGTTATCATAAAAACGTGAACATATAATTTTTGAGCGGTTTTCTTAGATAGTTAGTCTTCATTTTCACGGACTACGTGCCATAAAAAGTAATGTTACTGTTACTGGGGCGCGTATAGCGCCGTGGTTATAAGCGCCCTGCTGTACGCATGGAATCGATCCCGCGTCCCAGCCCACCAAGCCCTCTATGCCTCCGGGGTCGGCAAATTGGCACCAAACTGCTTTGGTCGATACATGAGCAGGTGACAATGACTCATCATATAGGGCAGACATGCATTCAGTTACCTCTGCGATGCTACGAGTGGAATATGGATGTGTCGTTTTCTTGTTCAGCAATCGCGAGGTTGCTGTTTAAAAACCTCGCGATTGCTGAACAAGAAAACGACACATTCATATTCCAATGCCGAGGTTAATAGAAAGTCGATCCTGGCAGCTACGAATGTAGTCTAATGCATGTAGCATCTATCGAACATTGTCCAACGCCGAGAATTTCTTCATTTATTCGTTTTTAATCAGTCCTGATTTTCACAAACTATGTATAGAAAAAGTTGATGTTACTTTCTCTGTTGTTGTTCCTAACTGCTTCATCATCTCTTGAGCTACTGTCAATGTTGTCACTCTCAACACCGTGACTCATTCGTCTCTTAGCCATTGATCGTTCGTTTGCTGCTATCGAAAAGCACTGGTGCTCTTGCGAATCTGCGACGCGCCCAGTACAACGCCAAGCGTATTTCCCACTTACATGTGTAAATAAAAGTGTCTTAGATCACCTTCGTTTCGAGAGGATATTGGTGGTGTTTCGTTTCTGAATCTCTGGTTTCAGGCTTTTTGTGTTCGGTTGTTTTCTGATTCGCCTCTTCATAGTATTCTACCATGGTGAGTTTTAGCTAAGCACTTTTTCTTTCATACTGCCTATGTCAACTGCGTTTTCAGAAAAGGACGCGGTTATCTTTAGTAACAACGTAGTTTTCATTATGTTGAAACAATCAAACCAGTGTCGTTAATGGCCAGAAGGCTATGATGAACAGCCTTCGTCACAAGTTTTCGGTTCCGTATGGAATTCTCACGGGTCTTAGCCAATGTTTGGCTAGTATTCGTAATTTTCTGGTCAGCATACGGTTTGCTCTGTGTGGATGCTGCTAATACTGAATTGATTTGCATGGTGTGATTTTTTTTGTGAATGGTGTGTCTAAAAAGGTTTCAGTCAACCTCCGGTGTTATGGTCAATCCTGACGTTCAGTCCACATTCCAGAAACTAAGTGAAGGGAAAAAGGAATTTCGATATATCATCTTTAAAATAGAGGTAATCTTTTTTGCACTTAACACCTGACGTCCGACTTAGATTGATTCCTGCTCATACGTATGGGCCGATGCGATTTAGTTGCAGACCTTTTTTTTTCTGGTCCTTTATTTTGCCATACAACGATTGCATTGAGCTATTTCTCATGATTACTAGGTAACTTATCCAGCACATGTAATACCAACTGTTGCCCCAAGAAAGGTAATTTCTGCGGCTGGTAATATGCAGAATAAGTATTTGGAAGAGGAGAGCATAAAACTGTCTCTGCTGCTCTCTTTAATCCCACGGCATTCAGTTGCCGTCTGTGGGCTAGCAAAATAGCATGGAGACTATTAACGATAAGGAGGCTGTAGGTGACTCTTATTTGGGCTGGATCGACTGTAGTGAATTGATTTCAATTCACAGTGCGCGGCAGATGATTAGGCGGCTTTCTGCGCTCGGGGCAAACGATAGCTGCCGGACTTCAAGTGTTAAATATGAATTTGGCTTGTTCATTGCATACAGCTGCGATAGTACCTTGTCAAAATCCACCTTCTTTTCTCAAACAGTCTCCTGTTTAGAGTTCCTGGAAGCCTGTTTCGTGGAATTCCTTTCAGTTGTATATGAAAGTGTTAGCAAATTTTTGAAATGCTACTTTTTTAAGACACAAACACATTGACGATTGTGTGTCCTACGTCATGCCGTCGCACTTAAAAAAGCAAGCCGATCATCAACGCGGACTTAATCAGCAAATGACATGGGGTCGTGTGATCAACGTTTTATACATGCGTAGAAAATAAGGAGGAGATCAGCGTTTCTTCGTAACGAAATGGAAAATACACTTAATTGCCCTTTATGTTGGACTTCGGTAATATAAATGGGATGTTGTTCACATAGTACTGAAATTTGTGCGTGTAGTTACTCTTCGTTCGTTTGTTTTGCTCGTTTCACATCCGAAAACTTGAAGGTACTGGGGCGGAAAGCACAGCAGGTAGTCGCAAGTAATTGCTGCGTATTGATGCGAGAAGAATGTTCCAAAAACCTCTTAATCTGTAGTAATAAGGAAAATGGGTGGTTGAATAGCAATGAATTGAAGAGAAGTGTTGTGAGTCATCATAAATCAATAAGTTACAATAGAATCGCTTAGGCTGTACATGTGCGATTTCCATGTCTCACAGCGTTGTTTAGGAGCGGGAGGTGGTGGTTGAGGCCGCTGTTTCGCAAGAAGAACTAGGCTTGACAGGCGACGATTACGATGACTCATCCAAGGCTGCTTTCGAGAAGTTTGTGGCCGATATCAAGGTTGCTTACGATATGTACCTTTCTTTTTTTTTACATATTTTGGAATTAAACTCGTAAAATGATCCGGAATTCATTTTGATAGTAGTGTTTAGAATCGTACCGATGGTTTTACTGACTGTCGCTATGCCGTCTTTGATTTCAAGTTCACGTGTTCCCGCGTTGGTGCTGGTACCTCCAAGATGGATAAAATCGTCTTTCTCCAGTTGTAGGATATTTTATTGCTTTCTTAATCTTCAGGAGTAGGGTTTCAAATTGAATAGCTGGATGTTTGGAACTTATCGCTCATTCATTAACCAATGTTACACGTTGGGATACTGTTATAGGTAGAATGAACTTTATACAAAAAGTGGTACAGCATTAACTTGCCCAGGTATCAGGAACGCACTTTATGTCTAGCCGGCACTGTTGATGGCGATAAATAGTCCACCGGGGTGCTTGCAAAATCTCTTCGTTGACAAGTGTTTTTTGCTAGAAAAATCGCGAATTGGATGAGTTATTGTACTGTATGGTCTAGAGCATTCGCTTGACTGGCTACAAGTTGCTTTTATGACACAATGAAGCAATAACATAACAGTTTATTGAGCTTTTCTGCGCATTTTCTACATATCATCATAGGTGCCCCGATGGCGCGTCTATTAAGAAGAAAATGGTATATGCGTCGTCTGCGTCTGCAATAAAAGCTTCACTGGGTACGGGGAAAATCCTGCAGTTCCAGGTTAGTGTTTTGTTAGTCCATTTGTTTGGTTTTACATTTGTGACGTATGTCACATAGAGGTATATTCCATATGAAAGGTATCGCGTAAAACTTAGTTACTTGGGTACTTGGACGGCGCGTCTTCACTGGTTGTGCGGCCCCCAACATAATTTCCATTTTTTCGGAATTTTGCTGGCTTGGCCATCATGGTTCGCTGAAGTGCCGAGATCACTATAGCCAAAGTCTGCTCCAGGTCGTCACCACACCAGGCAGTCGCCACCTTTGTGTATCAGAGGGGTCTTAGCAACCTGCGACTAGTTTGATACCACGACGGTGGTAGATCTTGATATTGGTTTTGTCTTAGCTAGGCTTCCAAATGAAAACACCAAACTCCTTCTGAACTTGGGCGACACTGCTGGTTGGATGAACCCTCCACTGTACATCGCAGCCCCACACCAAGAACACCTCCCAGCCACGAAGAGGTGCTAAGAATAACGGCGAAATTCTGATAAACTTTACTAGGAGTCGATATCAATATGTGAGCTCTTCTTCTTTTTACCTTTTTTTTTCTATTGCTTATATCAGTTGGCGTTTTATTCAAATCGGAAATTTTCTGTTAGGCTTCTTGATAGTGTAATCCCCCCCAACAACATTATGGTAAGGCTCTGATCAACCTCAACGCGTATCGAACACTTCATCCTCTCTTTTCGGAGAACACTGTATTTGCCGTGACTATTTGCTTCACTTTTGCTGAATTTTTGTGACTGGATACTGTTCTGGTTGAGTCACGGTATATCACCGTAGAATCAAATTTGGTTACTAATTCTTCACGAGTGAATATGATATGAAGATAAATGACTTTCGCCTTCCTTTTTCACTAAAGTTTATTTATGTCATGTAAAGGAGGAGATTCATGTCTCCCTACTTTGTGGGTGATCTGTGTACGCTGAAATAGTTTTCTTCTTTTTCTTTTCAAATATGTTTTAACGTTCGAGAATTTCAGGTGTCAGATGAGTCAGAAATGTCGCACAAGGAACTGCTGTCAAAGCTGACAGAAAAATATGCGGACAACTAAGCCTAGCCACGGCTGGTGGTCTTTTACGAATTTATGCGTCATCAAATCCAATCACGTCTCACTTTTTTTAGATGATTGTGGTCGTTCTACGAAACACGTCCAGTACACGAAATGTGTGTTGCGTTTTGCATAACCACAGTTCTTTGCGTGTGCCTCTACGTTTTGTCAGCTAACCCAAACACACACAAACTGTTTTGTTGTCTCGACCGCCCTCTCACCAACTTCTCTTTTACTAGGGTGCATTTGAGTGCCGAGAGAAAGCGTCTTGTTTGTTTTCTTCGTTTTTTATACCTGAATTATTTATTTAAGTGCTCGCTTTACTCTGCAAATCTGTCTGTTGTGCTATCACAATGGTCTGTGTCGGTGTGGAAAACTCTCCTTTTGATACATCATTTTTGTGTGATAATAACCGTTGTGCGCTTTGAAATAAATAATTAACGTTGTTTTTGTGTTTAACTTACTCGCATGGTTTATTGTTGTTCACTAAACTGGGCTACGATAGAATATGGGTTTTTTCTTTGACGGTACTCTGCGCCATTTAGATGCTGTTGAAATATCCTTGGCGACACAGAATCAATTGCGCAGGGGAATAAGCCGCAGTTTCTTTATCAAAAAGCTTTCTTTGTTCAAGAAGGTAGATTGATCACAATGTGAGGAATGATTTAGGCCTCTGGAGTGAAGATTGATCCGTCATGCAAGAACGCTTATGATATGCTTCATAACAAACATCAACACAGCTACATCATTTTCAAGGTGAATAAGAATAAGCCTACTGCGGGCAATATTTGTTGGCTTTGTCGACTATAAAATATTTTATGAAAGTGTGGGCCTGCTGTGTGGTGTTTTGGTACCCGATAGAAGTGTATTTATGGGTAAGTCCCACAACGACTAAGGTAAAGAGAGTGGTGGTTGGAGGTATCTTGCAGTTCAGACAGGCTGCTTGGTTCGATCTGGTTCCCCGATTAAATCAAACTCATTATTGCTGTCGTAGAGATTGACAGCATGGTAGTGGGATTAGTTTCGAAGATGAAAAAACACCGGACTACTAGATTGCTGGGTAGCTGGAAGTGATTATATTGGCCAAATAAGCGTCCGTTCACCTTCGCGACGCTACGAACGGCTTCGTTTGCACGGCGTATACCTCAGGGATGGATTACCATCGAATGCTTTATCCGTTATACTTCTGTCCTTAGAAGCGACTACTGAGATCCTGATCAGGTCAACGGCGATTTTTTTTGGAAGATTATCTGGTACGATGGTTGCTAGAAGTTGTGAAGCAAAAGTGGCTACCATAATGCCTTCCTGCTTGTCAGTGAATGCCCCTCATTCTTCACAAGGATGCATTATTTTTACGAGGATATTTTACTTTTTAGAGTAATGGGAGTAATTAGGTAATTAAGCATAACCTTTCTGATACAGTAGAAATACGCTCGTATATTAGTTTTACAATATCTTGATCCTCAAATCTTGAACAGCATCAGCTCACACCTGTTTCGTATAGCAACAACCCACTTTGGTTTGGAGAAGAAAAGATTTTCACCTAAACGAAGTAGAATCTGTACTATCGTACTAACGACGAGAAAATAAGGAGTACCTTAAGTTATATTTGTTCGATGGCAAAACCTACTGTAATTTACAGGAATGTTTTTTAAACAGTAAAACGTAGTTCCCGTTATGTTGAGGAGGTTTTGTTTGCAAAAAAAAAAGCCAAATTGCAAAACAAAACGAAAGGGACGAAATGAGATGAATTTTTTGTTGCAAAATATTTTGAGCCGATTTTGGTAATTCTCTAAAATATGAGGCATTTATGAGACGTAGAACTACGAGAACATTCTGCCGACCCTGTGCCATCGAGACTGTGTAAAGTAGATGAGCAGAAAGCTTACTAAGAAATGAACAAGATAGACCCAAAAGATATTTAACAAACAGTGGACAGCTAGCCGATTATATTCGTAACTTGAGAGCTTAGACATGAGATTTTCTTCAATGTAGATTTGGAAACATCGTTTCTATTCTATTTAATGAGACAAGGAGGAATTCCTTCTGTTTATGATAGAAGGCTATACATGAGGTCAGAAATTCATTAATTATGGCGGCCAGCTAAGCATCTATTACCTATGACTTCTATACTACTATTAAACATCAAGTGCCTTCTTTTTAGTAAAAGGCTTTCAATTTCTTTAACTCTATGTCAAAAACAGACGCACGTGTGACGGAGTAGCAAGGGGCGCCCAGCAATGTACAGAGGGTGTCCGGTTCAACACCGCGCTCCATCTAAGTCAAACGTACCATCGCTCCGAGATCAGGGAATTGGCGCCAGATTTTTTGGGTGGATGGAAACTCATCGATAGGCCACCGAAAGCCATTTTGCTGTCCAGATATGCATTCAATCACTTCTCGTGATGTTTAACAGAATCTAGCGCAACCCATATTTCTTCTTTACTTGGATACATGGACGGCCCGTCCTCACTTGTTGTGCTGGCTCCAGCAATATTCTCCACTTTCTGGAGTTTTGCTGGTTTGACCATGGTGTTTTCCTGGAGTCCCGAGGTCAGCCTAGCCAATGTCTCTCTCACGTCGTCACCACCACAGGCAGCCCTTGTGGATCAGAAGGAGATTTGTCACCATGTGACTTGTTTGATACTAGCACGGTGGTGGATCCTGGTATTGGTTTACTTTTAGCTAGACTTCTTGATGGATACGCCGGACTCCTTCTCGGCCTGGGAGACCCTAACGGGGTATGAACCCTCGCTTTACATTGCAGACCGACTCCCAGGAAAACCTTCCAGCCACGATGAGGCGTATCGAGATCGTTGGGAGGAATCCATATTTCAATATAATCCATATTTAAGTCGTATTAAATAGCGTTTAGTTAAGTATGCTTTCATGTTATTCAGATGTAACAAGTAGGAAGAAACGGTTTTAGATTGACAAAAATGATACAGCGATCGTTGTGGAGAAAGTCGGTGACAAAGGTGCACCATATTCTGAATTTATCGAGGAGATGAGGAAAGCCGTCGATGGAGGTAAAGAATGCAGGTATGATAAGATAGATAAGTTCAAATGTGCATCCCGAAATTATCTGAGAAACTCTTAGATATGCTGCTGTAGATGTAGAAGTGCAAGTACAAAGGCAAGGTACAGAGGGTGGCAGTAAGCTGAATAAAGTCATTTTTGTGCAATAGTGAGTTAGTTATATAATTTTCCCAGGCTATTCTAATCCTTCGTCGTCATCATCACCGATATTTGTAACCAATAGGACTCTGATTTCAGTTGTCCGGATGAAGCACCGGTACGTCGTCGAATGCTGTACGCTTCATCGGTGCGTGCTTTGAAGGCCACACTAGGTCTTGAATCGCTTATGCAGGTAATTGTTCTTTGTTCCACGAACTACTCAATTCCATTCGTTGCAATCGATTTATTTAGTGTTTTCCTTAGAAATGCCAACATTCTGCTGACACGAGAAGGAAGTTGTCTGTAGTTATATGGCATTACTAACATATGAATACTTGAACACTTGAACACTTGAGTCGAAGGAATCATGAAAAATCGTGCCGACCCCAAGATAATTTCCACTTCATTGGTAATATGTTTCTTGAGTGGGATTTTTGTCCCTGTAGTTTTGAAAGCCATGATAAGTCAGCTTGTTGTGAAACCAATCATTAAGGGCGCTAGTTTATCTTTATCTGGGCTTTCAGTTGAACACGTCGAATTCTTTCTCAGCTTATGAAATCCTGATTTGGGGTTCAATCACCCACGCTGCACTTCGCACTTCGAAGCCAAGGACTGTATTCAAAAAGAGTGGCTAAATTGTAGAAAAATCTTAAGAAAAGTGCTTTTAAAAAGTAGTGTGTTTTGAAGTTTTGAGAAAGTTTGACTACGATTTTTCCAATATTATTATTAATTTAACATTGATCTTAGCAAGAGTTTCGAAGACGATGAGAGTTTTGGTCATCAAAATGAGCTCATAGTGGTCATTTTATTGTCAGGGAGTTTATGTTGTCATATTACACTCGTATTTCGACGTAGGATATTGTATTCGTTCGAATAGTGTAATCCAGGCAAGCGCTCTTAAATAGCGTCGTTTTGCGGATGTCGGATAGAAATGGAAGATTAATTACGATAGCTGCAAAGCATTTGATCGGATTACTGGAAGCTTTGTTTCCGGCTTATTCATTTTCATAAGCGTGAAGGTTTTCTAAAGTTCCTAGTCTGTGATTCCACGGCCGACTTTCTAATAACCACGGCCTTGGTAAAAATTATCTATATTCTTGTTGAGCAGACACGAGGTGTTACTTTATTCCCTATCACGGTAAAGGTGATGTTTCGGCTCACTTCGCCTTCTTCAGCGACTGGAAATGTCAAGTTGACTGCGACCTTTCCCGCCAAACACCTCCATAACCAAACGGGGAAAATTCTAACTTAAGAGTTCAATCCTATTGAAATCGAAATATTATGACTTCTTCGCATTGAAATCTTGGTTTAGCATTTTCTCAGCTTGGTTGTGGAGGTGTTTGACAAACAGGATTGCAGTCAACTTGACCTTTCCAGACTCTTAACAATGCGGAATCCGCCGAAATGTCAGCTTTACCGTAATAAGTAATGAAGTAATACATCATGCTTGCTCAACAAAATTATGGGGAATTTCTAGTCTTTATTTAGTTTGGATTGTACAGTCCTCGTGATTTTTTCGTCTGATCGGTTCGACAGTGTTTCTGGTCTAATTTTAGCTTAGTGAATTCTCCAACCTTAGTGTTTGTAGTTAGTATTCATTGCTTTTTAAAAACTGCTCTTAAATTCAGGTTCAAGCCTCCGACCTGTCTGATCTTGATGAAAAAGCCATCAAGCACGAGTTGGTCAGTAGCCAGAGGACCTGAACGCTCCGCTCTAAGACAATTCTTATTTGTTTTTCATCCAATAGCTGTTTCTTCTTATCGAATCCTTTTGCTTTTCGATGTTTGTTTAATGTAAGTTCGTAAGTCGAAGATCGTTACCGTAGTCACCTTGATGTTGGCTTGCTGTTCGGTCATTTCGCTGTGTATTTGCCAGATAACGTCTTAAATATTTCTTCTATCTCAGTTCAATAAAGCATTTTATTCGATGGATTAAATCTGTTACGTATATTATATAAATTTGTTCTGATGAAGTCTTCAATGAAAATCCATTTCTTCTATTGCATGAGTGAATGAAGGAAGGCGAAACACGTGACGTACTCGTTACCGGTTTCACAAAATAGCTGTAAAATCGTTTAGGTTGTGATACTGTTCTGGAAGCTCGAACAATTTTCAAATATTGGGTGATACGTGATGTACTTTCATGGACTTTTTCTAAAGAAGTGGGCAGAAATGATGTAGATGAAGAAGGGAATTTTTCTAAAGAGGTGCACGGAAATGATGTAGATGAAGAAAGGAATTCATACCTCCCTAGAATTATTAATTATGTGTTGTGGTCGGGAAGTAAGAAGAGTAGGGAAATTAACGTTAGTACACAAAAAGTGGTTTCGTACGCATCAAATTCAATGCATGGGAGCGCGCTGAAGAGTTATGCGTAGGTGCGCATGTTTTCATGATTGCTTTAAAGCGAGTTCCTTTACCGTAAATAGATCCAAATTCTAATCCATTTTCACTAAAACGTATTTCTATGTCACATTACCTGTGTGTTAGCCAAATAGCTAAAGTCATGACTAGAACAGATTACATCGAACAATCCACCGATCTGCTTAGTAGCCGCTTTTTGGATTTTACGTTTTGACGATGACGGATCCTCATCGATGTTCTAGAAGTAGTCAAATATTTCATAACAGAAATCAGACTAGTTAGTAAGTGGGATTCCAAACACCTAGAAAAAAACATTTTTTCTTCGATGATAACTTTTCGAACATTGGATTATGCGAATCGTCAAGCCAAGCATGGATGACTTTTGTTCTGATTTGAAAGCCTAATAACCATGACGTAACGAGAGAGGAAAAGGATTCTACTTTCCACTAGGAAGAGAATGGCTATGAAGCTTTGTAGTACCTTCGCATATGGCCGATAGGAGGTTAAAAATGTACTTCTGCTTAGGCACAGGGATTTAGCAGATGGACTTCATTTTCCTGTTACGTTGAATTGACATATACATCCTTTACATATGTACATAGTGGGAGCTATCCTGTAGCGATTGCATCGTCCACGTTGATTTCGCTCAAAGTGTACTTACTGATAAATTAGGAAGTAAGTGGGAAGAGATTTGGGTTGTCTCAAACAAATAAGCTTCCTATCTATTCCGGAAGTACTTGTCAAGTTACATATAGGTAAATCGAGCCTTCACGGTATAAAATAGTGAGCTGTTTGTGGAGAATTTCACATCAAAGAATCTACCAATAAGAAGCCCCGTAGTAAAAGTTCGATAGGCACCCTCGTACATCGACAAAATAGAGACCACATGTTACTCTTTCTCACAAAAACGACGGATGGAAACTTTATTCGTGCCTTGTTAGGTGACTGGTTCAGGAGATGACGGATTAACAAGGACGCGAGCGCTGTATGGGAAAACTCTCAGATTTTTGACTAAGATTTTTAGCAGATGATAAAACTCTTAAAAAAACATCTGCCTCACGTCTTCGATGAGTTTCTTCAGACGATCGTCATTGCACTTGCTGGTGAAAACTTCGGATTTTGTTGCAGAAGAAGCCAACGCGCGTCGTGACGGTTGTCGATAACCATCGAAAATAAAAAGCTTGATATTCTCCTTCCTTATATTTCCTTATACACTCTTTTAAACCAAAAAGGAATACTCACTATTCGGCTGGTTTTCGTAAAGTGCAAACTTATCGTTCAAGTCCTCTATAGAAGGATTTTTAGGTGCACTCGCTTCGGCATAACTTAACAGTTCATGGTATTTGCTAATCAGCTGGCAATATATTGTGAAAACAGGCAAAGTAAGAAAGTGAAGAAAGGAATGGAAGGAAGGGAATAAAGATAACGAAAAATATTCTTTGAAATTCACCTCTCGCCAGGTAAGGTGGTAGCCACTGTCGTCAAGTCTACGAGGATCGGTTCGCTCAATTGATTAGATGCTTGTATATTAACTATAACGAATCGTCGTGTTTCTAATTTTCTACAAAGTATTTCTACGTGCAAATTTTATCCAGCTGGAAACTTCTCACTTCATTGTAAAATTCAGCGCAATACTGCAGTTTTAGTGAAATTTATAAGCAGAAGTAATTAACGTCGTCTTTAAGTCTTTTGATATTAAGCAGCTGTACTTGTGCTTTTACACTCTCAAATACTTTTGGTGGACGATCACCTTGTGGTTGCGCAGTCTGTCCTGTTGCGAGTGCTACTGGTGGAGATGGCAGTGGGAGCGATGGTGTCAGCACCGCCGTTGGTTGGTGGTAATGCTGATGTTGTGCGGTGCTGTACTGAAGACATTTTACTATTATTGTACAACTTTTTATGGTTGTTATTCTATATTGCCAACATTTTTTAAATTACAATGTTATACCTTTTTATTTTCCGCCTACTATAATTTCGCGGCAGGGTACTAAGCGAAATACAACCACAACGTTGCTGAGATATTTGCAAAACTCTGGACCGCAGGTGTCTATGGTGGGGAACGAACGCGCTATTGTCCTTTCTGGGGAGTAGCGCGTTCACCACCACACCATGCTGGTCCTTTGTTTTACATACCATTTTTTAAATTATTGAGCTTACACGAAGTTGACAAACAACTTTATTCGGCTAAGGTTTCTACGTCTTCGCCTTTATCAGAGCCGGTAAACCGAGTCGATGGTCTACAGTTGTTCGCCTCCCCGATATAGTATCTTGTCGTCGAGGAGACGAACAATTGTTGATCATCGACTCAGATCATCGGCTCCGATGAAGATGAGGACGTCGAAATCTTAGCCGAATAAAAGTTCGATGGTTTTCTTCAATAAGCAGACACGAAGTTGGTATTATAGAATTTATTGGAATACAATAGCTGCTGACATTTCGGCGGTTTTACCTTCTTCAGAGTCTGGACAGTTAAATTGAGATGCGATCTACTCAGCCAAACGCTTTCATAACCCCAGCAGATAAAACTTAACAAATCAATTTGCATTCGCATCGGAAACAGCTTCATTTATATACCCACCGTTTATTCCTTAAATTTCAATTAGTTGGAGGAGAGTAGCCGCACAAAGTAATACATGGGCGAGGACTATGCCTGTGTCAGGCCACTGAATCAGCCTGAGGTATGCCGCTAGCCCACACGTGACGACAAGACACTCCTCTTTGCGGTTTATTTCTAAATTTTTCAAAAAATAAACGGTGGGTGTCCTCTCATCCCTTACACACTAAAAGGGCGCTTATAAGAAATATGTTTCGAACTGCTGCCAGCGTGTGCACAGGTAGAGAACAGAGGGAAGAATCCTCAAAACTGGCGCGCCAAATAGCCATTTCAAATGGTTACAAAACTGTAGCCTCTTGGCATAGGCATAGAGGAAAACCCACGTCCCAGAGCTGTAATTCTAGCGAAAACAAGGCTCCGTTCTTCTTGTCCTTTATTTCAAACGAAATAAATGCAGCTATAAAACGTTGCTTAATAAGAGTCGGTCTATAGAATTCCGTAAGAGTGATAGAAATACCATCGGACACTCTGAGACGCCAGCTAGTGTGCAACCGCCTATATGACCGCCTATGTATAACGAAAAACTGCATAATTTGCCCTAACGGTAGAGACAGTGTTTGCATGAGTTCGGGCGCAGTCTATTTGATCTCTTGTAAAGCGTGCGGGGACGAATGCGCTTGCGAAACGGGTAGACCGCTCTGCGTCAGCATAAAAGAACACCTAGTCGGTAAATCTAAATTAATAAACCAAACACTCCCCCAGGCGCGCATAGGATGCAGGAACACAACTGAGAAGATTTCGAGGTAGGAGTCACTATCCTTACGCACGAATCGAGAACTTCAATGCGTAAAACTCTTGAAGCGTTTTGGACTAATTCCAAAAATTCGGAAATGAGCCGCAAGAAGGAGTGCCTTGTCATCACGCGCGACCTGGCGCCATACCTCAGGCTAATCCAATGACCTGACACAGACACACTTGTCGCCCATGTATTACTCTGTGCCGCTACTATCCATCAACTACCTTAAATATTTACAACAAATAGATGGTAGATGTTTAAATGAAGCTGTTTCTTATGCGAATACAAATTTGTTTCTATTTCGAAACCGACTTTCCTTGAACCTCGGTATCACTAATCAATATGTATTCTTTCTTCGATGAGCTTACACGAGGTTGATAATGATATTTATTTTCGGCTAACGTTTCGACGTCTTCGTCTCCCTCAGAGCCGATGATCCGAGTCGATGGTCCATGCTTGTTCTTCGTCTCGACGCGGTGATTCGAAGATTCGAGGAGATGGCTCACTGAGGAGGACCTGACTCGACACGAAGGCAAAGCTGCCGCGTCGAGACGAATAACAAGCATGGACCATCGACTCGGATCATCGGCTCTGAGGAAGACGAAGACGTCGAAACGTTAGCCGAAAATAAATATCATTATCAACCTCGTGTAAGCTCATCGAAGAAAGAATACAAATTTGTTTGTTAAGTTTTATCTGCTGGGGTTATGAAAGTGTTTGGCTGGGTAGATCGCATCTCAATTTGACCTTTCCAGGCTCTGAAGAATGCGGAACCGCCGAAACGTCCGCTATTGTATCCTAATAAATCCTATAATAACAACTTCGTATCTGCTTATTGAAGAGAAACATCGAATTTTCAATCAATGCCGAGTTTAACAGAAAGTCGGTCTTGGGAATAAAAGTTGTTTATAAACTCGCGTTAGCTCAACAATTTAAAAGATTTTGATTATTTTACCACCGAGGTTAAATGGTGGTCGGTTTGAGAATTGTTTTGCTATCCTGTATTGTCCTTTTAAGCATGAGATTGTGGTTTTTTCCTTTCATTCAATGATATGCAAGTATAACAGCTTCAGATTTTATTCATTAAAGATGATAATTTCGCTCTGAACCATTTTGCGGAATAACATTGCAACAACAAAGAATTGCAACCTTATTATGCAACAAAGCAGCGAATTTGTGATCTCGGAATTTATCAATCCCTGGAGGAGGCGTGATGCTTTCGACTTCATCGAGCATACATAGAGGTGATTGAATGCATATTTAGCCTATACAGTGACTTGTGGTGGGCAGTCGATGTTTCAAACCGGTGTTTTTATTCTTCCAGCTCGTACCAATTTTCCGACCCTGGAGAAATGGAAGAACTGGTGAGGTGGGGCAGGAGATCGAGCCAAAGACCATGCATGGGTTGCAGGGATCCTACAACGACTGCGCTACGCTCGGGTTAGTACGTAGCATCCACTGAAACAGTGATTTTGTGAATCATTGATAAATGTTGTCGTCCTGAATATGCTGCCCTGCCATATGAAGAGATCAATCGAAATATCACGGTTGCTTTTCGTTGAACACCTTTCATGGTATTAGGGATTAAATCTGTTGTTTGATTACGGTCTTTGTTTACTGTAACACTGCTTTTAAAAGGTTACAAAATGCTAAACTAACTGGTCATTTAATAACTCGAAAGACCGACACTCCATAAACTTCGGGATAGATAGTTGATATATTTATTTATGTGATTTTATAAACTGATCTTCTTAAGCTGACGCGAGGTTGGTACAGGTCTTCGTTGTGTTGGTG